CGGCCCTGCAGACAGCCCCGGCCGCTTCCCCTGCCCCGTGTGCGGCTGCTGCTTCCCCGGGTGGGCACGGGCGTCTCTGGCCGCTGGAGCTGCGGGCAGACCCCGCTCACAGAGAGCGGGTTCCTCCCGCTTGTCCCTTAGAGTGCCGTGCATGTGCAGGCCGGGATGCCGCAGGGACCCTTGTGCCTGTGGTTTGGGTGCAGTGTGTGATCACCATCGGGATTCGCTTCCAGTGCTGTCAGCATCGCTCCGTGTGCCATGAGCGTTGTTTTGAAAAATTCGCTCTTCCTTCCCTTAAGTTTGTTCTGCAATTGTGGGAGACCATTGCTCTCTACAACTCCCTGGAAGGAGGCTGTAGCCAGATGGGGTCGGCCTCTTCTCCCGAACATCTGTGACGGGATGCGAAGAAATGGCCTTAAGCTGCACCAGGGAATGTTTCGATTGAACCTTTGGAAGATTTTCTTAACAGGAAGGGCGATTAGACTTCGGGATGGGCTACCCAGGGAGGTGGTAGCGTAACCATCCTGGAAGGCGTTTAAGCGAGATTGGATGTGGCATTGAGTGCCATGGTCTAGTTGTCATGGTGGTGTTCAGTCACAGGTTGGACTTGATGATCTCAGAGGTCTTTTCCAACCTAATTGTATCTGTGATTCTGTGTTTGAATTTCAAACACAGCAAGATTTGTATATTCCACAATATTTCCTTCAGGCTTCATGAATTATCAATTAGTGTTTGTTTGTTACTGTTTTTTGGGTTTTTTCCAAGACCCTTCTAAAATTATTCATTAACAGGAATTCTGTTGCGTTTCAGCATAAGCCCCTTTAACATTTGGATATGGTGTACTGGATTTAGTAGATTGGAATATTTTTATTTTATGTTCCTACATTCCTTTAAAAGTTGTATGCACAAGCTGAGTTGACACAAATATCTATACTGACAAAGTGTGATATGAGGTCACAGATCTATTGCTGTGTTCAGGCTTCTTGTAAAAAATCTTTTCTTGAAGAAAAGTTCCTACTTGCTTGTGTATTTAATTATGAGCATATGGTTTTGACTATGTAGTTATTAGTTTCCCAGATGGGTCTAATATTCTATAATTTACTTCTTCATGTATACCATTTAGCAGTAGTACTTTATTTTCTTGTATTTCATTTATCCACAATATCTGTTCTGTGTCCGTGTTCAGTTAAGGAGTTGGATGTCCATCTTCACTTAGGTTTGCAGTTAGTCAGTATCAGTAAGATTTTGCATTTAGTTTGCTGACTGGTCTGCTTGAAATGCACAATAACTGCTCTTCTGCAAGCAGTTTGTATATGCAGGGCCCAGGATGCAGAGTTTCCTGGGAAAATTGTTCCATACTAGTAACAAGGTCATTGTCCTTTGAAGGACAGAAGATGATAGCTTGGGCCCTAAACCATGTTTTATGTAGTGGTAACTTCAGACTAGCCCTGTGTCAAGTTTGCTTTAAGTTTCAGCTCTGCGTAGGCTTTGAAAGGGAAGAGGAATTCTATGTGTATTTACCCCACACCCACCCCCAAATCTCCTGTACTTCCTGCACTTTTGTTTGCGGAGGTTTGTTTTGGATTTTTTTGCTGTCTCCCTCCACCCCCATCTTTGAAGGATTCCACTGCTTCTTGGATTATATCAGTCCCACAAGTTTCTCTCAGTAGCAGCTTTGAAATGAAGCACTCTTGTTGATCTTCATCTGTATCTGTCTGGCAGAATTGTAAGATCTAGTGCGAGACAATGCTTCATGTCCAGCTTTGTTTGATGGCACAGGAATAGGAGAGGCCCTCCAAAGCTAATACTTCTGAACAGCTGGAGCACATAGTGCATATATTTGTGTTCCAGGGTTTTGCACAATGAAATTCTAGTGTGAGCATTTGATTTTGTAATGTCTGTTGTTGACCAATTTGCATCACCTTGCAGACACTGAAAGTAGTGTTGAGAAACCGACAAAATGAGTAGTCGTCGGAAACGTGCACCTCCGTCCAAAGTGGATGAGGAGAAGAAGAAAAAGCTCTGCTGGAATATGCATGAAGACCGGAGAAATGAGATGGTGGCGTTAGATGATGAAGTAACTAATGAGGACCATATTCCAGTTCCAAGCACTTCTGCATCCTTCATTGTTATAAACGATGATAGCACTGATGAAGATCTTGTACAGAAAGAAGGCAGTGGCTCAAAATCTGTTAAGTTTCTGACAGTTAACGATGAAGAAGACTCTTATTCCATCTTGACTCCTGTGTCTGTACAGCTAAATATTATAGTCCTGCCATACCGTGCAGATAGGTCCTGGAAGGCTTTGTTGGGAGAATTTGCTCTTCGTCTGCTTTCTGAGCAAATTCGAACTGACGAATTCCGTGACAGGAGCTTTACTTTAATGAGAGGAGACTCTGATGATGAGCTGCAGGTCTGTGTTCATGAAAGAAGTGAAGAAGAGTACAGTAATGAAACAAAAGAATACCTGGGTGCTTATGAACAACGTATTCTGGTGGAAACAACTTTAAGTGGTGAAATATTGGAAGGCTTGAGATGGTTGCAAAAGAAAAAGATAATTGGACTTTATCAAAGACCTGGAGAGACTCAGGCTTTGAAGGTATACATCCATTATACTTGCTTTGCATTTTGAAAGTTTTGTTTGGTTTGGTTATTTTTGGTTTTTTATTTTAAAATAAAAACATCTGAAAAACAGTCTGGCAGCTACTGTATAGCTGTATTTATAATGTGTATACTGTATTTATAATGTGGTGAAAATGTATAGTTTCTATATGCTTTTGTAATGTTTTCAGTGTGTTTTTCTCTAGAAATACATTTTTATTTTTTCACCATTAGCAGTGTATTACCTGCAGGAATCACAGAAGCTTTTAGATGTATTTCCTCTACATGGTGTTTTCAGTAGATTTATTATATCTGTCTGGACCTGCTAATTTTCAAACCACTATTATTATTTTTATGCTATTCTTTTATAATATTCTTGTCAATTTAGCAGTTAATTAAATTGTTAACTGTGTAACCTTTTCACAGGTTGGAATTTACCTCCTTGAATCTGGGCTGAGTAAACCGGAATTTCTCAGTGATGGAGGTGGAAGACCCAAAAAAGCTAATCAGATGATTCAAAAGCTCATGGAAAAGTTCTACAGTTTTTTAATTCCAGGTAATGCAATAAAGTTGATTGTTGGTGAACAGAAGTAGTTTTGTCTTGTGTAGTAGTTGTAAATGTAAAGGAAAATAATAGTTATTCCTGCCACCTAGAGCAACTCTTATTTTCCAGGCAGTGTTATTAGGTGATTCACTCAATACTATTATCTGGCCTTTAATCATATGCTAATTCATTTATGCTGAAATTAGAGGTGATAATTCTTCTCTACAGGTACTGAAGCACAGAGATGTTTTGAGTCCTTACCTTTTTTGGGAGTTAATACAGTTTTCACCAGTTCATGGGGGTTGTTAGAACAGATCTACAGTATCTTGTCCGAATTATACAGGAAGAGTGTAAAAGAATCAGGAATTAAATCTGGAAAACTTGTTCCCAGGTTAGGGCCTAACACGCAGCTGCAGCAATAGATTCCTTTGGGTTTATATTGTAAAGCAGTTACAGTGTAAAATACTATAAAATGCTTTATAACAGTTTTGAGAATATACCACTGCAGATTGAGAAACATGGGCCTTGCTCTCGTTTTAGAATTAAAGGTAGGTTTGCCAGATTACACTTACTAGTAATACAGATTTATAGGATGAAGGATGATGGCTTTGTGTCGTTATGTCTTAGGAAACTAGTGGAAAAACCAAACCAACAACCCAATCAACCTTTGTCTCGTTCCTGAGTGTAGAGTTGATTCAAAATTTTGGCTGAAGACTGTTTCAGTGACTGTAATACACAGAGTGTGTATACAGAGTATGCAGGTGACAGAAGCCTAGCACTCACCCTAAATATGACTGCATTTAATTAGAAAAGGCAGAGTTGTATAAAAAATCAGTCAGCTTTTCTAAAGAGAAGCTAAAAGTGCAACTGTGAGGAAATACTAAAGATATACCAAGGGATGGGCCAGTACAGCTCAGTAAGTGTAGAAGATACTGCACATAAGAAATCATCCTTCCACAGGCTGAAGTCTGACTGATACAAATATGCCAGTTTAGGTTTCAAAGCACAATAAATCAGATCCAAGAAGAGGTCTGAAGAATAAATAGTTTAAGGTCTAGAAATGAATAGTAGTGGGTTTAAATCTGTTAGGAGAAATACATTATCATAAATGCATTAGAAGCAGAATAGTTGCCAGAGAATTCATAGACTTGAGATGTCTAAGGCATATGATAGAGTACTGAAATAAAAGTAATGCTATAGCAGAAAGCAGGGTTTTCTTCTCTGCATATCTTCTCACTGTGGAAAAGTTGGGGAAAGAGATTGTGAGGAAGATGACTGGTGACTTATAAGATCCAAAGTAATTTTCTGCTGGAAACTGGAGCATTTGTCTTCAGTACACTAAAGGATGTGTTTATATGGACTGCATGGTTTAGTGTAGCTTACAGGTGAAGAGGCACTTTCTGAAAGGGAAGGAAGACATGCCCTGTAAAGTCACTGGGGCGAGAATGTGGATCTGAGCACTTTGATTGTCATGCCTTTACTTTCCAGAAGCCATGCAAGCAGCTCAGGTTTGTAAAGGAGCTATGTTGCCAGCTGGTAAAAGATTCTGAACATTTTTCAGCATGTACATTTTTATGTGCTGTAAAATAATAATAGAGTCTTGATTTCACGCCAATGAATGCCATGTAAATGACGAAGTAAAATAGCTGACACAGAGAACAGAAATAAATGATTGTAAATCACCAGTCAAGTCCTACAAAGGCATGTGCAGCTTAATATATTACTAATGCTTTGAGAAAAAGAATGATTGGTGAAATAGTATCAACAGTGTTTAAATGTATTATTCAGCATAACAGAGATGAAGAACAACTAAAAGCTTGCAAGCAGACTAGGCAATGGAGTTTCAATAGAAATTCAGTAGATGAATAGAAAACAATGCAGAAGAAAAAAAATTATGGCCTCTTTGCTAACTGTTGCAAGTGGGTTCAGTAGGTAGGTGTATAGCTCAGTAAGTGCATCAATTTAATGTTCAGTGTTAATGAAGCCAAATCAAAAGTAAAGAATTATCCTGAAAGTGTTAGAGAGCAAAACATGATCACTTTACCACTGTATAAGTCCATAGTGTGCATTATGCTCTGCTCTGAATTCAGAAAAAGCATATCACAGAAATGAAAAACATTTGTGAGGGAAGACCCCAAGTGATTATGCACTGTGAAACTAGTTTCATTTCTTAACAGTTTTTGAGCATGAATTTACTGATGTAGCATAAAATCACATAGCCTTGATTTTGTGCTGATGAATGCATTCCTCTTAAACGTTTCTAACAACTTAGTCTCTGTTTAAATTCCACATGTTTTTAAACAGAATTAGTTTAGGTTTTGTAAAATTACACCTAAGTATATATTTTAACACTTATCAATGTCCATCTGGAGTGAAATCTATACAATAACATTCCAAGATGAAGCTTCTTGTTCCCCCCACTGATGAGCAAATTCTCATGCTGTTGGGGTTGTGCACAAGGATTTACACAAATAAGGGATATAACCTCTCTACTGCTGCATTTAATTTTAATATATTTTCCCTCACTGTACTCGGTTAATTCTGTTGATATCCTTCTAGATGGTTTTGAGACTTTCTGTCAGGAAGTTCGTCTATGTTATGGCAATCATAGCATAGATACATTAAGCTACTGAAAAAAAGTGATAAAATATTTAATATGGAATCACTGAATCATTTAAGTTTTAATCCAGCACTGCCAAGTCAATCACTCAGACATGACCCTAAGTGCCACATTTACATGTCTTTTAAATATTTCCTGCGATGGTGACTCAACCACTTTCCTGGGCAGCCTGTTCTTATGCTTCTATGACAACCATTTATGGGAAGCAATTTTTCCCTGTTACCCAGTCTAACCTTCCCCTCTTGCAACTTGAGGCCATTTCTTCTTGTCCAGTTACTTGGGAGAAGAGACCGACCCCCACCTCACTAAGACCTTTCTGGAAGTTGTAGAGAGGACTAAGGTTCCTCTTCATCTACTTTTTCTCCAAACATCCCCAACACATTCAGGTGCTCCTTATTAAGAGTTGTGTTCCAGGTCCGTTACCAGCTTCATTGCTCAGCTCTGGATATGCTCCAGCACTTCCATGTCTTTCTCAGAGTGAGGTACCGAAAATTGAATTCAGTAACCTCACAGCATCCTTGTAGTCCTCCAGAACTGCCAGCCCTTTCTTCAAAAGGTCATAAACTCTGTTTTCCCTGAGTCTCAGCCAAATCTGCCTGTTCAGCCAGATGTTCTCTGCCATCTTACCTTTTTATCATATACCATTTACCTTCAGTTTTTTTAAGAAGAATAAATTCTTTGTACAAAGATGTTTTGGTATTTGTTTATTTACTACCCAGAGAAACTGAATTTTTATATAATACAATGCCATCTGTTTCTCAAATGTAAAAAAGATTAAGATGCAACTTCTGTAACTGAATTACATTTTGAAATGGTTGAAAACATAATTAAATATTCACTCTTAAATAAGTAACTGAGAGAGGGATAAACTTCCCTAGCATCCTTTTCAAAAATCCCTGTGGTATGTAGAACCATTTAATCATAAAAAAGAAATCTCTGAATGAACAAAACAAGAAAGTTATGTGCAAAAAAAACCCCCAATTGTATTAAAAAAATTGCTTTAAATTATACTGTAGTCTTTGGTCTCCTGTAAAATTCTGGATAGACTTTGTTTATGTAGAAGTCAATTTATTATGCTTAAACTGTGAGATTTGAAGACTGTTATTTTAGCAAGTATAATGATAGGTGTCATTATATATAAAATTCATGGATCAAAGTTACACTTTGCAAATACTCTAATTTTCTGTTCTTTCCCTAAAGTGAGGGGTATGTGTTAGAGGATCCCTTTGAATGGTTTCTTTAATATATAAAGCTGAGTGCTTCCTTGGTGCTTTGTATTTGGCTGGATCATTAATAACCCCACATGTGCAGTCTGATTGCCTTCTTTACGTTACAAGTCATATATATAGTTTTCATGAATATGTAGAAACTTAATGTCTTTCAGGATTTTCATTTCTCTTGTGAAGCACTGGAATTGTTCCTTTGATTTAAAAGGATTAGGGGAAGGCACTGATGGCTGCCATATATAGGCGTATAATTTCCTCCTTTTGTTTTGGAAATCATTCTTCACCTTCACCACCCATTTGAATGGAAGAAAGCTTTTGCTTTTCATGGAAGAGAGTCCTAAGACCAGCTTCTGAACCTTATTTTAAAATTAAGCTTCCTGGTTTTTGCCAGGTACATGTCTTCCTTGTTATCCCGAGGCATCAGAATTAAATTTGATTTAAGTGTGCCAGCCATTTTAGCTGTTTTATTAGAATGTTCAATATACTTTAAGGTCACTTTATGCTGAAAATTATAGCCTTGACCTGCTTCCAATTTTGGTGTGTTTTTTGGGGGTATTTTTTAATATAAAATTCTGCAGGGTGAATTTATCTCCAATGCTAGCTATGGTTAGAACTGGTCTGTATTTTTTTGATACTGATGTTTTAATTTTAGGCCTAAAACACCATTAAAACTTGTCCTCCAAGTCTTTCATTCTCTCGTATCTATTTTCTAGAATGCCAGCCTTTGAATTTTTAATGAATTTTTGTTCTACGGTGTTTAAATTCTGTATATGCCCATATATCCAAATTATGTGAAAAATACATAAGCATAAGGCCTTCTTTCCTAGAGGGTAGAAGAGAACGGAAGGCCTTCTGTCCCAAAAGGTGCTTACTTCTCTTGAGGTGGGTTTTAATTTTGAAAGTATGCCTTGTCTGAATTTTTGCAGTGATGCAAGTGGTGAGAATTACATGTTGTCCTGCTGCTACCATTTCCTAACCTTAAATGAAGGTTTACTTTTCTCCTTTCTATAAGGTCATTTGTTAATATTTAAATCAGAAGCATGAGACACTTGTGATTCTGTGGCAATTGGAATTTTTTATTGGAAGGTCTTTATGAAATGAATTTCATAAAGTTCTAGTCATTCTGTACTTCAATTCTAAAGAAATAGCTTTGCTGATCATGTATGTATACATCTGTGATCATCATAGCATATTAGCTTTTAGGTGTCCTGGTTCCAGCTGGGATAGAGCTAGTTTTCTTGTTAGTAGCTGATCAGTGTCATGTGTTTGGGTTCACCGTGAGAGTAATATTTGTAATGCAGTGATTTATTGCTTCTTGCTGAGTGGTGCTTGCCCCAAGTCAAGGACTTTTCAATCCTTGCTCTGCAGGTGCACAAGAAGGGGGAGAGCATAGCCAGGACAGGCAAGGGATATTTTACACCAAAGAACAGCATCCTCAGTTTATAAACTGGTGGGAGTTGGCTGGAAGCCATCAGTTGCCACTTGGGGATGGGCTGGGAATTGATCAGTGAGAGATGAGCAATTGTACTGTACATCTCTTTTTTCTTGGGTTCTTTTAATCTCTCTTCCTTTTCATTTCTATTACTATTATTATTACTGTTGTTATTGTTTCAATGTTTTTCTTTATTTCAGTTATTAAACTGCTCATTGTTTGCTACTGCTGCTAGCTGACTCAGATGCAGTCATAGCATATGTTTAAATGACACTTTGGTTTGCTTGTTTTCATAAGTGTAAATTAAATATGTTGCTGCAGAATTTACTGAAATGTTGTCTCAAGCTGATTGATTATTTGGTGTATGCAGATGAGCTGGAGGAAGATGAGGAAGAATCTGACATGGAACTAGAGCGACAAAATATTGAAGAGCTTTATGACTTCGTAAGGCACACCCACCAGCAGGATATACAATTACTGAGAAAAGATGTGCAGCATCCTGCATTGATTCCCATTCTGAGGCCATACCAAAGTGAGGCTGTGAACTGGATGCTTCACCGAGAGAACAACGCAAGTACTCCAAGTAGTGGCAAGTATATGGATCTGAAAAACTTGCATAATTGAGGAAAGTGTAATTTTATTGTCAGCAGTAATGTTTCCTTGCTGTTTGATTAGATTTTTTTGAATGATTTCATTAATGTTTTCATAAAAGCTGTTGTTTGGGTAGTACACTAAATGATAAGCTAGGTCTTGCTAAACAGCAGTTGATGTGTTGGTCATGAAGCTCTGTGGAGGTGGACTTGTTTTTTGTCTCTTATTGTCACAAAAAGGCTGAATAATTCTAAGGAGTGGGCTGTTAATAGAGAAACTTCATCATTGTGACTTGAACACTTTCTCCATAGAAAACGCGCTGCACTTCTTATGGCGGGAGGTGATCACTCTGGATGGAGTAAAAATCTACTATAATCCATTTACCGGCTGGTACGTTTTTATAGTTACTCTTTCTGAGGACACCTCGGGGTTGTGCTTTGTGAAAACCATATTGGTAGCTTTGTCCTGCAGGATGTAAGATATTTCATAACTTGTTTTTCAATTAGAAATTAACGAATTAGAACAGTGATATCTTTAATTTGAAATAAAGCACAAACTGGAGTATGTAATGCACAGATAAATATGTAGATCTCAAGTTGAAGATGTAATTATTACAGCTTTTCTTTAAAGAAAAGTCAATAATATAGTGGTTTAATATTAACACTTTTTTAACTTTCTGTATTGGAGGTTTTGATCTTCTGATCCAATGTTTTTAAAGCCCAAAGGAAGGCAGCAGTATAATGCTTTTTATTAATGCTAGGTATTGCATTACTAAATCTGTTTCTTTTTTCTAATTAACTTGGTCAGAATAGAACATTTTGATTTCTAGTTTGCTTTTTATTTTTCCCTATGTAACTTTCAGATCTTTTTCACATGTAAATATAAAAATATTTCAAATATTTTGGGAATAATGCTATCATATGCTAAGGTTAGTAGGGCAAGGCCTATTAGAAGGTAAAAAAAATCCAAGAATTCTGGCATATGTATTTGTCTTGGTCAGGTTCGCACACCCAAAAAGCTTGCTATTTTTTGTTAATCTCAGCTTAACTAATAAAAGATAATGGCTCACCTTACAAACTTTGCCTTGCTGAAGCTATGCTGTGTGTGCCTGAACTCACGTTTCTCTGTCACAGCATTCTGTAGTTACTGACTTTCACTGGGAATGTACTTGAATTTTAGTGTTATCCGTGAGTATCCAACTGCTGGACCCCAGTGGCCTGGAGGTATTTTGGCAGATGAGATGGGTCTTGGAAAAACAGTAGAGGTGTTGGCTCTTATTCTGAATCATACCGGACCAGACATTAAACAAGATGATCTGACATTACCTGAGGTAAGGAAACCAGGTTGAGAGTTATTATGAAGAAAATGCTTTTCAGAATGAATGTAAGTGCACTTGAGTTTATTGCTTTCTGGTTTATAGAAGTCCATATTTAAAGTTCTGTTACTTAGTAGGACATGATACTTGGCAGCATAAATGGTGGAGTAGTTTGCAGGAGAAACTGTTGATCCTTTGCCATTGCTCAATGGTTTTATCAGGCAATCGTGCTGTTGATATAGTTTGGACAGGCTTCAGGAGTGTATAAACACATAATTTAGTTTAATATGTTGGTACTCCATCCCTTGGAAATCATGGAAGCCAGTTGCATTGTACATTTACCATAGTCATCTGCCTGCTTGTAATTTTTATTGGTTAAAGGGACTCAATTCTTAGAAGGAACAAGATGATTAAATATATAAGAGGGTCAACACCAAGTAGTGCAAAGCGAGGAGTATAAGCACTAAAGTGTCTGGACACTGACTGACAACAATAGCTAGAGACCAAAGATTTTGGAGGGCTGGAGTTACTGAAACTGTTTCATGATGTAAGTAGTTGGGACAGACATATTAGGTAATATATTACTCTAATAATAGAGTAAAACTGTGGGTGACAATCCCTAAAAGGAGAAACATACTTTTTATACAGCTGACTAGAGCTCATCCTCTATATTGCTTACTTCCTTTTATGTTTCTAGCTATATATTAAATATGTATTTTCCTCCCCCATCGGGAACCTAGATCAGCTGTAGATGCTTGCAACTTAATGTTAAAGCAGTGGAGGACCCAAGAGGCTTTCAGAGCTGCTCTTTGTGTTTCAGTTAGGGTGCTGAACACTGTTTGCCAAGAAACTGAACTGAATGATGTGCCACTCTGTAATTAAAAATGAGCTATCTGAGCGAATTAGTGAGATCAGAGCATACGTTTGTAGCAGCTCATGCCAACTTTCAAATGTGAGGAGATTAATGAATGTCAGAGTGAATGTGACTGTGAAGAGACATGAGCTAATAACTATTTAATGTTGTCTGCACTAGGGTAAGCTTGTGAACTTCTTTGTTCCGCCTCAACCTTTAGAGGGAAATAAAAAGAAAAAAACAAAGGAAATGGAGCCTAAATTAAAGGAAAAAATACAGTATCCCAGTAAGTATTTCTGATGACTTGTAAAATACATTTTGCTTTTAGCATTGTCTTATAGCTATATAAGACATATGTAAGACATAGAGCCACTGACTATGAGTTCAAGGCTATTCTTGACTTCTTCAGAATGAAATGATTCTTTTGCTGAGCACTGTCATGTAGGATTATATGCTACAAACAAGTGATCCACAGTTAAAAGTGAAGTTACTAACTCAGAACTCTGTGCTACAGAGTTCCATGTAACTAGTGGTCTTTGTAAAGAGTTCATGCATACAAATGAAATAAGTTGTCTTTTTTATGGGTCAATAAGGAAATGGAGTGATTTATTTCCATTGCTATCCAACATTGTTTTAGAATCACTGCAAAACAGCAATCTGTAGAGCTGCATCAAGTAAAAGTTTGTCAAAACTGCTGCCTGTCTGCATTTTTTAGATGAACACTATCTTTAGGGTTCCCTTAATACACATTCTGTGAGGTAACTTCATTTTATCTAAAGCTGTAAGTTGTTTGGTTTTGATTCTTCATACAGGCTTACGAGTAATGATATTAGCAGCTGTAAAGGAAATGAATGTGAAGAAAGGAGCATCCATCATTGCAATATTTAAGTACATCAGTTCCATATATAGGTACGACACACAGAGAAATAGACGGCTTCTCAAAAGAACTCTAGAAAAGCTAATTGCAGAGCAGGTGATAGAACAAGTTAAAGGACATGGTCTGGCTGGGTCTTTCAAGCTGGGAAAGAATTACAAGGAACAGAAGAAGCGAGAAAGAACCAAAGAGCAGGTAAAACATGCTGCTGAAGCTACTTCAATGAATGTTGCAAATGTTGCTCTTTTTTCTGCCAATTGCATGCTACTCTCAGCTTGTGAGCGCTACTTCAGTGACACTGATTTTGTGGTAAAAATGAAGAAAACTGCAGCAATTTCTTTGACACTCATAAATAAAGAAGCAGAAATCATAAGTAGATAAAATTTTGGGCTGCAATATCAACTACATCGTAAGTCTTGTCATAAGTCTTTTGAAATAGTGTTGCTGGGAGTTGTGTTGTTCTTACTGTGAAGTTGTTTTTTAAACACTGATAAACATTAACCAAATCCTCAAATTGGAAATTGATATAAACCCTTAATATCTATGTACTGATGTGTTTATATGTTCATTATAAAAAATGGTGACAAGAAAGTTGCTTGGGTTGGAAGGGACTTTAAAACTCTTCTAATTCCAAACCCCACTACCATGGGGACACCTTCCAGTAGACCAGTTTGCTCAAAGCCCCATCCAACCTGGTCTTGAAAGCTTCTGGGGTTGGGGCATGATTGTCTCTGGACAACCTGTTCCAGTGTCTCACCACCTCACAGTGAAGAATTTCTTCCTAGCATCTTATCTAAATCTACTCTCTTTCATTAAAAACTATTCCCCCTTGTCCTGTCACTATGTGCTCTTGTAAATAGTCCCTTTACAGCTTCTTGTAGCCTTCCCTCAGGTGCTGGAAGGCCATAATTTAGTCTGATGCCTTCTCTTCTCCAAGCTGAATAATTCCAACTCTCTTAGCCTTTCCTCATGGGAGAGGTGCTCCAACCCTCTGATCATCTTTGTGACCCTCCTCTGGACATGTCCATGTCCTCCTTATGTTGGGGGTTCCAGAGCTGGATTGCAGCACTCCAGGTGGGCTATCACAAGAGTGAATAGATAGGCAGGATCCACTCCCTGGCCCTGCTGCCCATGCTGCTTTGGATACTTCCCAGGACAAGATTGTGTTTCTGGGCTGCAAGTGCACATTGCTGGATTCTGTCCAGCCTCTCACCCATCACTACTCAGTCCTTCTCAGCAGGGCTGCTCTCAGTCTGTTCATCCAACCCATGTGCAGCACCTTGCACTTGGTTGGTTGAACTGCATGATATTCCCTAGGGCCCACTTCTGAAGTTTGTCCAGGTCCCTCTGGATGGCATCCCATCCTTCAGAGGTGACAGCTCAGCTTCGTGTCATCTGCAAATTTGCTGCATCATTAATGAAGATATTAAGTAGCACTGGTAGATGTTAAATGTCACTGGGCAAGTCTGAACGTAAAGTCTCACATTCTTGGTTAATTTTACTTTGTAGGTAGCAAGGACTTCAGAAAACACTCAGAAGAAGCAATTGATTGATGCTAAAACTCAAACCAAAGAATCAAGAAACAGTGACGTAACATCTGAAAATGTCTTTAAAACTGCTTCACATGAGAATATCACCATGGAAGAACATGATTATTGTGCAACCAGTAAAAATAACAGGAAATCTGAAGCAGATCATGAGAACTCTGTAGAAGACAAAAATGTTAAACAAGAAGCTGTGGTCTCAAAGTCTCCTGATTTTGATGGCAGCCTCCTTGTCTCCAGTGACGTGAGCAGTCATTCTGATGCTGATGTTTCTAAGACTGCAGCTGTTGTCCAGCAGGAAATCCCAAAGGCCCAGTCCTCACTTCCCCAAGAACGTGCTGGCAGTAGCGTACAACATACCAGTTCTGTATTTCCATTTAATACCTCTGAATATCGTTTTGAATGCATCTGTGGTGAGCTCGGATTGGCTGACTACAAGGCTCGTGTGCAGTGCCTGAAATGTTACCTGTGGCAACATGCAGAATGTGTAAACTACAAAGAGGAGAACCTGAAGAGCAGACCCTTCTATTGTCCCCATTGCCTTGTGGCCATGAAACCAGTTCCCACAGGAGCAACTCTTATCATTTCTCCGAGTTCTATTTGTCACCAGTGGGTAGATGAGATCAACAGGCATGTAAGATCATCATCTCTTCGAGTTCTGGTAAGATTATATAGCTTCATACTCTGGAGTGTTATTTTATCTGGGCTCAGGGCTTCCTGCCTCATGTTCTGCATCACTCAAAGTTCAGAGGTCTTTGTCCTCTGTGTCAGAGTTCTACATTTCTTGCTGCTAGACCGATGCTTTGGCATTATGTGGTGCATTGGTGTCCCAGGAAGACAGTCTGCAATTAGTTCTTCATTTTTATTCCTGTTTTAGTTGGTCACTGGGAGATAAATCAGTAGTCTAGATTGTATAGCAACTGAAAGCAAATTTTTCACCAGTCGCAGCAACATGTGATTTCTGAGAGGGAAGGCTGTTTGACAGACTACCAAGGAACTTAAAGAGGCCTATGAGTGTTTTGAGTGTGTTACAACTTGGGCATTGTCTCTATAACATCTGCCAAACTTATTAGTATTTTTCTTATTTGGAGACCATGTATTGTCCTTTACTTGATTTCTAATAATGCTGTCGCTAGAATAAACCTAATTATACATAGACTAAAAATGGTTATACAGATTTTTTTAATACAATTATCACAGTATTCAAGAGTCTTTTATTACCAATGCAGCCAAGTTTTGTCCTTCATATTTTTAGCAGTCAAGAACCTTTGCAATGATCAAGAGCTTTGAAAATTGTCAGTCACTTGTATTTTGAACAAAGTAGTAGCAAATTGATTTAACTTGATATTCAAGGATATATCTGGTACCTTTGGCTATTACTCATAGTTACCCAATGTATAAATGAATTCTAGGCCTCTAGTACTATTTGTGTGAGCAGCTCAAGTAGATTTAATGCAGGAACTAACAAATGTGTAAAATTTGCAAGGTTTTCCTAGGGCTCAGTCAGAGTTTAGTACCAGCTTTGATAAAAATTGTTGGAAATAGATTTACATGGTAATAATAAAATACTTTAGATACTGAATGTCAGTACTTTAAACTGCATGACATCTTCCATTCTACAAGATTGTTCTCATTTTCTTTTAACTGACAGCTGTGAGTCTTGTCTTCAGTGTTGCTTCAAAATGAAAATTTGTTGTTTTATTTTCTGTTAAGGTTAAATGAAAGTAGTGGAGATGTTTCAAAGAATCAGTTTCCCATGTTAACAGCTTTTGTATTGCATGTGATGTGTGTTTTTTACTCTTCAACTGCTTACAACCCATGGGAAATTCTAATGGTTTTATGTAATAGAACAAGAAATTAAAATTTATCACAGGTCTTGCTTTGTGGCAGACTGTCTTTTCCTGATGCTCTGAAAACAACCAAAACTTGGCCAAGTTATAAATCTCCAGAAAATCTATTCATAAATACTTAAAGAAATCCTTGGACTTTGGCAGCTGTTTATTTCTTCTTGGCTGCTTTAGAAAGCATGGTCTTTTTAGTTATTTTGTTTCTTTTTTCTTCCCCTTCCAAGCTCTCTTTCTCTCTTTTGTTTCATGTGCAATGACCTGGGTTGCTCTGTTGTCCCACTCTGGGGCTGAACAGAAAAAAATTATCTGCAGGTGTTTCTTTCAGTTGACAGAAACACTGTTGCCATATGCACAAATGTAGAGGCAAATTGTTACTGGGTGAAAAAGTAGGGTTTAGAGTGAAATTAACAGTGAAATAATGTGCTGATCATCAATGGGTAAAGAGCAGTTAATTTTAACTTCTGTATGTTTCTAAAGGGATTTGGCTTAACATTATGAGGGAGATAAGAAAAGTATTTCTGATAATAGAACAAATGTCAATATGAAAGTTTTCTGTTAGTGCACAGGGATTATTTTTTACCTAGGGTATTTCCTTTTCATCTCCTAAATCTCTGTAGGTAAAACTTGATTCACGGTGTTCTTTCTGCTTTTTTATATATTTTGACGCATATTTCTGTCTTTGCCTAATAATCCATTAAATTTTAGTGAGTAAAGTTTTCAGGAGAAAGGTAATGCATCTACAGTAAAGGAGAGGAGAAGACTGAAAATGTAAAAGTGACTTGTTCTATACAACATTACAGAATACTTGGTCTTCAAATAACTGTTACCACAAATAACTGTTGTAGAAAATAATGAAGTCCTGTGTCCTCCAAAGGAGGAAATATATGTTTTGCAAAGTCATAAAAAGTTATACATACAAATTTTGCATCCATGACTCTATTGTATTTATTATTAAGTTACTTAGATGAATTTCCCACCATAGTGTGATATTAATACGTATTTTATAAACAGTTTATATGAGCAACACTGCTAAAAGCTTGCACATATTAAACTGTTCTGCTGTTTTGGCATTTTGGTCGAAGTGTCCCTTACCTCCCTTCTTTGCTGTTGTGCTGTTGACTGTAAATCTCTGTAGGTGTATCAAGGTGTGAAGAAGCACGGCTTTCTGCAGCCTCACATGCTGGCAGAGCAGGAGGTGGTTATCACCACGTACGACGTCCTGCGCACCGAACTGAACTACGTAGACATTCCCCACAGTAACAGCGAGGACGGGCGCCGCTTCAGGAACCAGAAGCGCTACATGGCCATCCCCAGCCCCTTGGTGGCGGTGGAGTGGTGGAGGATCTGCCTCGATGAGGCACAAATGGTTGAATGCACTACTGCAAAGGTATGACATTCCTGGTCATGCATTCATTTAACTTGAAAATGTTTGGACAAGTTTGTAATAAATAATAGAGTGGTCTTTCCTCTCCCCCTCTTAATGTTCAGAGTTCACTCATGTAGTTTGTTCTTGTCCCTTGTTCTTTAGAAGTGAATTTTCTGTTGGAGATACTTATTATTATATGGTTCTCCTGTTGGAATTTTGGAAGACTGTGAAGTGTATCTAGCTCAAAAAATACTTAACATAATCTATACTGCCAGTTTAAAGAACTAGGTCATCACACTGTATATGGTGTTTGATAGTTTCAAACAAGACACTAGCTTGTTCAGTGATGTGGTTCAGAGGCATAGATATGTCCTTTGGGTCTAGAAGCTAAAATAGTTGGCAGTCTGTCTGCAAACTCAAGGGATACAGTCTGCGGGGGGAATATTTTAATTAGTGTTTGTCCAGTCCTCATGCCCAAGACAGGAAGACAAAAATACTACTTATATAACGCCTTACAGGCTTTAATGTTCAATTTTTTTTTTTAATTACAGTTTATTTTGCTATTTGTTTGCTCTCTCTGAACCCTTAATTGCACTTGATTACTTGAAAGAGGACATGGCTTTTATCAGCTTTCAGTTACCTAAAAAGATCAAAAATTTTATATGTTCTTATAATATATTGCACCAATGCTGCTTCTAGGTCTAAGGGTACATTCTGAAAAGATGTTCAGTTTTCTTAAAAATAAGATCCACATGTTGTCAGACTGTTCCACTCTGTTTTTTCCTTTCCTACCATTGGCTTTATGTCCTTTCATTAGGCTGCTGAAATGGCACTCCGTTTGAGTGGAATCAATCGCTGGTGTGTTAGTGGCACTCCTGTGCAACGAGGATTAGAAGGTGAGATTTTATGTAGCAGTGTAATCTGTGGTACTTCCTTATTCTGATAATTAGGTGGGGCTTTGAAGCATTTAAAATGTCTGCTAGTTTTGTTTTGAATTCGTTAGGTACTCTGACTCTGTAAGCCATAAACTTTAAGCACGATAATAAAGCCGTCTATACATGTATCAATATAAAAATCGAAGAGCTGAAATTTTTTTGTCTCCCTGAGTTAGACAAATACTTTGGGGAGCAGAGAAGCTCTGTCTAATAGCTGACTCAAGTCTGTTTTCAGTTTTCACTTACTTAGTGTAGTGGATAAATATTAACCCTTCTCTATTGCAGGTAGACATTAAGCAAAGCTGTATTTGCCTTTTGCGTAGCTCTGTATGAACTACCATAGGCATCCAGTGCCATAGATATAAATTCTAAAAATTGTGCTAAAGCTTATGAAACTGTTTCTAGTCCTTATGTAAGGACTTAGTGAATTGAGATGTGTGGAGTAGCTGTATGTTAGCAGGTGACATTTATCTTGTCTTTTTGTGTGTGTGTGTGGTGCTCAGTTTCTGTAGACAGGCTTCAGAGACAGAATCAAAAAAAGGGAGCTGACTAATAAGAGACAGAATAAGAAAAAGGGAGCTTTGTCTCCCTGTGTTCTCTGATGGATTTTGGAATATCTGGTACACATTGGGGTAATGCATTTGGAAGTGGATAAATCAGTGTAAGCATTTATGGATTGTTGTTTGGACGCTATGTTGTAAAAATCAATATTTTAGATTAGTTCATTATGGAATTGTCAAATAAATTTATAAATACATGTAATAGTTTTGAGAATATATCATTAATAAAGCAAAGCTGTAGAAAGAAATGATTGATTTTAGTGTCGTGATGAACTCTTTTAAGGCTCTGTGTGTGAATGTTGATTTAATATATATCTGAAATGTCATGCAGTTGTTGTTGACAAACTCTCAGGCTATACTAAGGCAGCCCCCATGACGTCAGGGATGAAAACTGCAGACTCATTTCAATCTGTGCCACTGCTGCTGTAATGCAGTGGGATAGGACCTCTGGGTAAAAAATTGCTTCTTCAGTTGAACTGATTCTCAGGATTTTTCTTCCTCTGGTCTGTGATGTATTTGGTGAATGTCTCAATGCTTTCAGCTGAATACTGAATTATGATAAAGCTAACAGAATAAGAGGTGTAGCCATCAGACTTTCAAGAACTTTAAGCTATCATCACATATCTCTGTTTCTGCAGTATCCACGTGCAGCATTTAAATGTGTGCTTCTGTATTTTTCCATTAAGATTTAGACAGAAGTTTAAAGTCAGTATGTCCTTAAATTTCATTCCAAAGAGTGACAGGTTTCTGAATTAGGCAGAATTAGCAAGATGTATTCTCTCAATTAGCAAGAAAACAATTGAAGTGTCTTCTGTTAATTTCTTCTGCTTTAGTAGAGAAGTGAAAATTCTTCTGAATTGCAGCCCCTTCTAGGATTGTGGGCAGCAGTTGGTGCACAGCAGGCTCTGAAGAAATGATGCTGAGCAATACTGGTTTAGAAAAACCTGGCAAACCCAGTTAACCATATGCAATAATGTGATTTCTGTCTCTTGCTTCTGCTCTGAATTGGTTTAAATTATTTGCTCTCTTCTTTGCTAAACTTGAAATTAGGAGTCTCATAAATAGCTATAGTGTCTCAAGTTGTGTGGAAATAAAAAAACAAACTAAAGGAGAGAACCCCCATCTTCCACCACCCAATCTCCTGCCTCAAATATTTTGCTGAGGGAGTGACTGGGAAACAAGTGCAAAGGATAAAAGGAGATGATTTATGCCTGATAGCCTTTGTATGACAGTTAATTTTTTTTATTTTATATATATTGCAAAGTGTTAAAACACAAATGCTTTCTTTTCTTGACAGATTTATATGGATTAGTCCTTTTTCTTGGAGTTGATCCTTACTGGGTCAAACATTGGTGGGACCAACTACTGTATCGACCTTACTGTAGGAAAAATCCCCGGCCTCTCTACAGTCTAATTGCAAAGATAATGTGGAGATCAGCAAAGAAGGATGTGATTGACCAAGTAAATAAAAATTCTGGGTTTTAGAATTCCTGAACATGATATATCAATAGTTTTATTTGTGAATTACTTATTTTCTTTTTTTAATTTCAGATTCAAATCCCCCCTCAGACAGAAAATATACACTGGCTTCACTTCTCTCCTGTGGAGAGACACTTCTATCATCGCCAGCACGAGGTGTGCTGCCAGGATGCATTGGCAAAACTCAGGAAGATTTCAGACTGGACTCTTAAGCTTAGCAGCCTAGATAGAAGGACTGTGACTTCTATTCTATACCCTCTGCTACGGCTGAGGCAGGCCTGCTGTCACCCACAAGCTGTTCGGGGAGAGTTCTTGCCACTACAGAAAAGGTGAATTTCTGTAATTTGTCAAATGGCCTACTTTATCCAAAGCAAAACTGTATGTCTCCAGCAGTGCAAGTTCTTGTACAGTCCTGAAATAAGCCTAATTTAAGTTTCCTTAGTTAAATTTGTGACTATGGCATACCAAGGTAATCTGACCTCAGAGGCTGAACAGGCCACAGTGGGGTCATTAGTGTAATTCGTGTGTCAAAGAACATAGTACTGAAGGCATTTGATTCCCCAGTAGCATTCTAACCTTACTATGACTAGGGTGTTGCAGGTAACAGATTGAGTGTGAAACAAACCAGATTCTTTTTCTGTTTTGAAATAAGCCCACTGCTTTTTTGTTTCTTTTGTCTCATACAAAATTCATGTTTATGAATGGGAACAATGAAAGGACTGAATCAACAGAATGGAATAATTCTTTAGTTCAAAGAAAATGTTAATGTGAGGTTGAAGAATTTGTAAATGTAGATCCAAATTTGAAAGCTGTTCAAATGCTCTTTTATTTGCATGCTTTCAAGATCATCTTCCCCCACAAGTGCTCTGCAAGTACCAGTTTGGTCCCAGCTTTTGTTAGACCAGAAAAAAGGCATGTTGCCAGCCCTATTGTGAAGTGTAGCTGCTATTTTTTCAGTCAGTTAGTAGGAGGTTATGAAAGAACAGGCTGTTTCCATTCCAGACTCTGGGAGTGCTGTCTATGTTTCTTTTTTAAGCTACAGGTAGGAAAGAACTTCAACTTTTAGCACTGCCAATGTTCTTGTTACTGTTTCCTAGTCTATCCATTCTATTCAGTCTCTTTCAGTCCTTGTAAGAAGTTTTGTGTCCTACTCCTTGCTCTGCACCTGCAGTGCCTCAGCAGCTGAAGCTGACTTTGCACCTCCAGCAGAGACCAATAGACACTGTGCTGTATCACTTACTGTAGCAGTCCGCTAATGTGGAAGCAAGGACTCAAACACAGGAGAAATCAGTACTCCCACCCATCGTACAAGAGTATTTCCATTAAAATGAGCCAGTGTAGTATAAATGTAATATGTGTAAACTGAGCAGAGTATGGTGGGAACATCTTTGTACTGTGTTGATCTTGGTGGAACGGTGCACAGTGATAGCTGCATAGTAACTGATAGGAAAATCAGCAGTGAAAATTGAATCTTTCTTAAAATCACATGTACAAAGAAAAATCAACTCCCAGCACTGTTTACATACCTTTTTTTGTGAAGCAAACTCGATTGCAGCAGTGGACATTCCTAGAATAGAGAGAAGATTTGGTTATATATATATTTGCTTATATGTAGGAGAATAATGAAGAAATTCTCTGTTTGGACCTTTGGTCAATAAGAGAAATCTACTGAAGTTAGAAAGTTGATGTTGGAACATATAGATAAGAAACACAGGCCTGGAATAAATAATAAAAACCTGAGTTTGGAGCATATTCTGTTCTATAACAGATGACTTCTTTCCCCACCTGTGTAATGAAGGCAGTAAATGAGATCTACTAAAAAAAAAAAATAAAAGCTTTCAAAAGAGATTTTTTAAGGTTCTGCTAGTTTAACTGAGTAAAAACCCCTTCTCTTTGCTGTAATTGGTAGTCTCAGGCTGTGTATCAAATTGCATATTTTATAAGTATATCCTTCTGCTGTTACAATTTTTTTTATAACTGCTGATGGTTTTGAAAATAAAAGGTAAGTAGCATTGGTGGAAGTATCAGCATATGCAAGTGTTATGTGTATTTACCATTGTGTTTGCAGAATTAAGTAATTATGAATAGAGATTATACTGATTTAAAACTGACTCTGGTGTAACAATATACTATAAAACAAAGAATCAGTTTCTGAAACTGGAATAGTGTTGCCAGGAAGGTAAAAAAAAGGCCTAGGCAAGGGTATCCTTCCAGCATAATTTGAGTGCAGTCTGTGCAAGATTGATTATGTCACCTCTTACTCTGTTCCACAGTGCTGAACACCAAATTGTAAATGCTTCTCCTGAAGTGAATGAGGCTGAGGAGAAGGGTTTCAGTAGAGGGGATGGTGTCTGGTCTAACAGCAGCAGTTGGTATTAGAAGTAGCCTCAGGTTAGCTGTTGTAGGCTGCTGCTGTTGTTTACTCTCCCGTCCCTTCATAGCAGTCCTCTGGTTCTTTAACCTGTGGCCTTACTCCAAGGTGTCTTTCAAGTTTCCTCCTTCCTTCCACTTCATTTCCTGTTCCTCTCTTTTCTCTCCATTTCTGGTATTTTTATGTTAATTCTCTTCTGGTGAAATTCCTCTCATGATATGCAGATATGATAAGTGTAGAAAAGGAACTTTAGAATAGTTTTTGCTAGTCTTCTCTGTTCTCATTTCACACATTTGCTTCTTTACATTGACGCTTCATGTGTTTTGTGTTAAGATTGGTAGCAGAGGGTAGAAGTGTAGTCTGTCATAGCTGTTTTCATCTGAACAACTTTTGACAAAATGAAGTCTATTTTACTTGTTTCCAGTTCACCACTAACAGAAGGAGAAAAATATTTTGCCCCATGAAGGATTATTTTACCAAGTTCAAATTTTCTTCTTGCTTATTTCTTTGTGTTCCAGGAGATGTCAACCTCTGGACACCCTCAAGTCAGGGTTAAAGTTCTCACAGGAAGAAAATCTGACAGCTAGAGGTGTTTTGTTAAGTAAAGAAATCTCAAAAAACCATTTTCAGTGTTGGATGCATGTAATGATCTGCTGTGCTGCTCAGCATGACCCTCTTGCCTTTCTAGTACTGCGATTTCATTTCAAATTCAGGCCATTTGGTTTCTTTTCAGCACCATGACCATGGAGGAACTCTTAGCATCTCTGCAAAAGAAATGTCGAACTGAGTGTGAAGAAGCTCACCGACAGCTGGTGTGTGCTCTTAATGGCTTAGCTGGTATCCATATCATTAAAGGTAAGATCAAAGGGCTGTAGCATATTCTTTACTCATTTCAGTACAGGAGTAAAGAATATGCTCCATCTCTGTGTACTGGGAGGTTAAAGGAAGTCATACTTGAATAATTGTACTTAACCTGTTTTTGTTTTATCAGTACTGCATTCTGGGCTTTCCTTGTGCCCCCAGCCATGCAAACTGCTATGCTGACTGTGGATTCCTTTTGCTGCTCCTGCTAGACAGCTCTGTCAATGTTGATTTTGTCTGAATTATAAGGGAAAACAAAGCTTTGAATGAGAAACAAAAATAATTACATGAATCTTGAGTGTGCCACAAAATAAAAATAAATTAAAATTACTCAGTTATGAATGTGTAAAAATGTCTCTTTTCCAAGTTTTTCTAAAGCTGACATGCTGTTTGAATTCTTTCAACTCATGTCAAAGTCTTCCTTCAAGGAGAACAGGCAAAGTGCTTTTTCTCTTACTTGCCTCTCAGAAAGACTATGTTCAGATTCTTTAATCTGTAGTTAGTAGGCTTGAAATACTTTTTTAGAACTGCAGGCTGGAGATAAGCATTTCTCAAAGTTAAGTGCTTAAAAATAGTTACATACAGATGTAATGCTTCTAAAATACACTAATAGCAAAAATTATGTTTGGCCTATTTCAAAAACCAGATTGATAAAAATTTTGTCTGATGAGAAACAAAAGCAGGACAAAAGCAGCAGAGTTCTGGTCTGTAACTCCTCCCCTAGTATTGCCTTTGCACTCAAGTCTTCTTTATCAGGAAGGGGGAAGCACACCTGACATAAAACTGAGGCCATGAATTCAGGCAGCATAATTGAAAACTTACAGGTTTAATTATTATTAGTCCAAATTTAATTACTACAGGAAAAGAAAAGAGTAACAATCACACTTGTTTCTAGTTCTTGTCCTGCTTTTATGCTCACCTTTCTACTTAGGCCCATCTTGACCCTGAGGTCAGTGGTTTCATAGATGTGGTGGCAGTGCAATTGCCTGTTGTCACTACCTTCATCAGGAGGAATAAGATGTTTATGCTGATGGTTTCTTCCTCACACAAGAATCCAGTGAGGGTCATTTTTATGTTTGCTAGCATGTTTGCATCTTTCTTCATTGGTCTGCAGCTCCATGAAAACGCCAAATTTAGTGTACATGATGCCTTTTATGAATGTTACATACTCTTTCTTTGTTCTCTTTGTTGCCCCTAAAACCAGTTTTGTCCAGCTCTAAGTCTGCATTTCTTTGACTGTGGGTGAGTTGTTTATAGCCATGGCTTTCTTATTCACTGCCAAGCCTGTGCACCATCTCTTAGCATCCCATGGCTGTACTCTACACTGCATCCTATATCTTTACTTGTCAATAGCCTCTGCTATTGTTACTAGGCCTGTATTTCCCTACACTACATCATTGTGGTAGTTGTAAATATCTCATTCTACATGAAATAACTGCTTGTTACTGCTGCCTATATAAAGCCGTGTTTGTTCCACACAAAGATAAACAAAACTTGAAAAACATTCTAAAAATTAGCCATAGACACCTATGAATTACAGAAATTGCTATCACAGCTAAGCCAAGGAAAAGGTTCAGGCAGGTCAAGAAAAATTCAAGGGAGGCCTGACAAGCTTCAAGGTAGCAAATTCAGCACATATCTTTGGGCTGGTTACTAGTAACTGCAATCCTATATTGCAGAACTACACCCTTACAAATGCAACTCTTTCAATTTAAAAAGCAGCAAATCTTGTTGACATAGAATTGTTACATTTCCGTATAGATAGGATGATGTTTTTTGTTTTACTCTGTTATCTGTCTTTATGCATTTCTTATCACTGTACTTCTCCATATTTTATGAGTCTCTAAGAGTATTACTGGCTAAGTAAATTTCCATCAGTTGAGAAAAGAAAATTTAAATGGGTTTATTTTTTCACTGCTTTTCCATACACAACTTAAATTTTGTGTTTCTTTTTAATTGTTATAAGTTTTTTCCTGAGAAGTGATTGTGATGCTGGCAGCTTACATCAGTAGTTATGCTCCCTGCATGTACCTAATCATTTCTGCATTTCTGAAGTATAACACAACTTTTCATGGTTTTCACTGGGAGAGTGAATAATGCATTTGCAGTGCAAATTTAACAATGCATCACTGCAGTGAGTTGTAGATGATTTTTTGAAGTGCAACATGAGATTTTTTTTTATTTATGCAACCATGAATACATATTTTAAGATTAAGATATTTACAGGTCTTACAGTCACAAAAGATATTTAATTTGGAAACTGCATTAGTCTTCGTAGAATATCATAATCTGTCTTTTACCAGTTTTTTCTGGGGGGAGGCATGGAATGACTAGGAAAGAATTGCTTGAAGACAGGCACTTACTATGCAGACTTTCTGAGAACATCTTAGTATGTTACAAGTAGCATAACACTTGTAAGGTCATGCTTCTGTATTTAAAAACCAGCACAATATGTGTTTTTGTTTCTCTTTTTTAATTCAGGAGAATATGCATTGGCTGCGGAGCTGTACAGAGAAGTACTAAGATCATCTGAAGAGCACAAAGAAAAGCTTAAAACAGACTCCTTGCAAGTGAGTGAGCATTGACATGTAAAGAGATGTAATTAAGAACTGGAATACTTTAGATTTAATTTAGCAGGGTCAGTCTTTTCTTCCTCCCAGTGGTGTGCTGAATTACTCTTTCAGCCTGCTGTAATGATCACAATCTTTTTATCACAATCTTTAGATAGGAATCTGTCCTCTGTCCTGTGACCTTGATGGTTTTTTTTGCGTTTTTTTTTTGACAAAAATAAAATAGCTGCTGTGTTTCTAAAACCCTTCCTGTGAGTTTTCTTGATGTCCCTGAAGCAGTGTGTGATCTCCACCTGCTGTTCTGTAGTACAGTTAACAAGCTGAATTCCTAGTCTGCATGTGACTGTGACTGCTCACAGTACCAGTGTTATATTAAATCCTGCAAATACAGAATGCAGGGTTTGCACTGAGAGTGATATTAATGTGCCAAATGATAGAGAATAATAAAATATTTGCACTGCAGAAAATAAAAGGGCATCAAAACGTGGAAAAGACCTGAAGTGCCTTTTTTCTTCAGGCATTTGACTTCATGCCTTTTGAATACTATTTAAAAATATTAATATGTTTTCCTGGTAAAAAAATCATGGTTCTTTCAAGTAACATATTTATAGTTCTTCAAGAACTATCAGTTCTAAATTGACCAAAATTTTCTTCAGCGTAATAAGAGATTTAAAATGTTAGTGACACATAGATAAGAGATCAGTTGTCTGTTTCTTTGCTTGCTTCTCTGAATAAATTATTGTTTGTGTTGCATGTGGTCGCTTGATGTCTCTGTTGTGCTTCTTTGATTCTTCTTTTCCTTTGTGACTTCCTGGTGGCTTTTTTTGCTTGGCATAGTCATATTAGCATAAACTAGTTAAGCTGCTCATAGGTTGCTAATTAAATTGTTCTGCTGGATTGTGCAATCCAATAAAGTTGTTTTTTTTTTTCCCTAATATTGCCTTAATGTAATGGAATTTTACATCTGTTAAGTCTTCTCAGTTGTGTAGGATTAGTTCTCTGTGATAATGGCAAATCACTGCTGGCCAGTCCTCTTAAGTGGCTGAGATAGTAATAGGGCAGAGGTGAAGAGAATCCAGGATGTGAGAAAGGCAGATTTATGATAGTGGTGGTTATTTGTATGAGTTTCTAGGAGCTGTGCAGGATGCATAATATTATTGGTCTGGTTTGAGAAATAAAGGGTGAAGCCAGAGAAGAGGAGCAGTGTTTCCTTATATTAATAATCAAATTTGTTTTCCCTAAAAGTATACCAAAAGGTCATGTGTTTTTTGTTATCTTTTATTTCAGAGAAATGAAAAATATGGAAAATTATTACAGCTCCTGGCACCTGGTATTTTCCTTACACTTTATTTTGCTTTACATAGTCTAAATTAATTTTTTCCTCAGAGTATTCTAAGACATTTACCAAAGAAAGTGCTCTGAGATAAATAATTTGTTTTTCATAATAGTCAAGGGCTGTTTTAATTAGGAGGGTGAGTATGGTATAGGATCTGATGACCTGCTATCACACTTGCCTGCTGATTTGCTTTTGAGATGTTAAAGAAGGTCTTTTGAATATTTCATTTGCTCTCCCAGTAAAATGTGGAAAGGAATCTTTCTTTTCTTTATAAGATGCTTCCAGATTAGCAGAGAAAGACAAAACTGATTTTAAATGCATGCTAATTTCTTGCCGTAAGCTTTCATTGCTGTTCAGGTTTTTTCCTGCCAAGGATGTTGCAATGGATTTTTTTTCATGATTACTCCTCACTCTGTGTATATTTAGAGACTTCATTCTACACATAATTTAATGGAATTGTTGGCAAAGCACCCAGGAATTCCCCCAACTTTGCGTGATAGCCGACTCGCAGAAGAGGTAAATATATTTTGTTTTTACCTAAATATTGAAGAGTGTATTTTTATTTTTTGTCTCCTCAGCATTTTATCTAACTAAAGAAACAATTCATTTCAAAAGAAATAGCTTTTTAGTTAACTACATACATTTCCCTTAAACTTAGTAAAATCAAGAGTTGTTTGCTATGTGATGAGAGCAGAAATGTCCAATACAATATTGCTGTTCTCAATGCTGATGGCCTCTGTTATATTGTGAGTGTGTTTTACAGAAATTTTAATAATTTTTACCTCTAAAATTCTGTTTTCCCATCCCCATATTCTGTGGAAATAAATTACACAGATGTTACTGATAAAGAATGTGTCATCATGAATTCTTCTGAGTCCTTTATTTTCTCACATTTTCTTTAGCTTTCCTTCTTTTTAACTTAAAATAGTCAGAGTTTTCTGTAGGTAAAGTTTATTTTAATTTGGCCAGATAAGCAAATCACTGTATATCACTTTCTGTATGCATAAGCTTAACTATATCTTTAATCCTGACTGGGGAAGTATCTGTCAAAATAGCTGGGATTACTCTTCCTCATTGGTTATTTGCAGTGGGCATAAGGACAACATTTCCAAAAGAATGTAATTACTGTGTCACTATTTTGGCTGAAAGGGACCTTGAGATGTCTCTAGTTGAACTTCCCCCTCAGAGCACGGTCAACATGGATTCCAGGAATCCCAGGGCTTTATCCAACTGGCCTTTTAAAACCTCCAAAGGAAGAGATTTCACAACTTAACTGTTCCAGTACTTCTTATGTCTCATAGTAGGGAAGTTCTCTGTGATTTTTTTTTTTTTTCCTGTTTCAATGTATTGCCATTGTCCCTTGTACTTCAGTAAAATGCCTGGGTTTTTATCAATCACCAATCTTCTGCCAGCTGGGAAGCTGTTCTTTAGTAATCTCTAAGCCTCTCTTCTTCATGCTGCACAGGCCCAGTTCTTCCAGCCTCTCTTGTTTTATGTTTTGATGAGTATCTGTCTTACTATTTGGCTATCTTCTGGTATCTTACAGTTTTTATGCAAATTCTATGTAAGCATAGCAGTTTTTTCTGTTTTAATGAGCCTTGCTCTCCTAAATATATAAAGTTTGTACCTGCCTTATAGAAGTTCTGGAGAAGTACTGCCTCTTTTTTTATTGACCTGTAATTCTAGTAGTTTTTAAATACTACATTATCCTGGCATGATTGTAAAGAAAGCTATTAGAAAATTTGTTTTATTTATAAATGTGATGCAGAGGTGGTTTTTCATAGCTACCTTTTGCCAGTAGCTCTTCTATGTACCCAAGAGTCCTTCCTGTCCACTCCAGGTAAAATGGGCTCTGTAACAAGAATGTACTATCTTAGTAGTAGTTTACAAAAAAAGACTTAAACGTATACTAAAGTACACAGAATAAATGTATGTGGTGAAATCAGTATGGAACAGTGCAAGATACATGTTACTTTTGTTTATCAGTTTTTAAAATATAAAATAAACTGGTACTGCTTTTATAGTGGTGGCACTTGCATGCCAAGAGAGGTTTCACTGTTGGAATTTCTCTGAAAAATATTTTATCTGATGCATTTAATGAAATTTAAGCCCTTCTTGTTATTTTATGAGTAAGTTTTTTATGTAGGTAAGTTCAATTATCCTGTTCTTAGACTGTTTTGGGATCTTTTTTATTGTTTGCTTATTCAACACAGGTAAATAAGAATCCTGAGTTATATTCCAGTTCCCTTTTGTAATGCATTGTATTCCCATGTTGTTGTTTGGGCTTACCCAAAAGCCAAGTTGTACTGTTAACATCTTTATAGTGATTTGTCTTCTCAAACGCTTTTATTGGCTTACTAGTAAATGCTGGATTCTAGAGGGAAAAAAAATTGCTAAATATTGCTTACAAATGAAGGTGGGTAGCACGTAGATAAGTAGCCATTTAAAAACACTGTGGTAGCTGCAGTATTCCTCACAGATATGATTTGTGCATAGTCTAAGCTCCTGTTTCCACACAGGCAGAACAACTTCGACAGCATTATATGAGTAAATCCAACGCAGAAGTTGCAGAAGCCCATCAGGCCTTACAACCAGTTCTTCAGACCATTCGGGAACTTCAAAGAAAGGCAGGTACCTCTTAAATGTTTTGTCTCTGACTTTTGGCATTTGTAAAGAATAGGATTTTCATCTGTTTATCCAGAACTCTAGCTGTTTATTTTCTTTCACCTGTTAAAAATACAAGGTCACTTCAGTGTTGCTCTGTTAATTTCACAGGGAACATTGCTTTCTCTGATTAAATGATCTTTTCATCTCCTTTTGAGAGAGTGAGAAGGAAGAAACTTTGAGATCACAGTATCTCTGTGTGGCTGTTTTGTGTAGATGGCCTTGGTGAATCTGACTCTACTGAAGGAATATAAAGGTGTGGAGAATGTAAACAGTTTATTAATCATGTATTTACACATCAACACAAGATGGGATATTTTTTAATCACACTGTCATCCTCCACTTTTCATGGAATTAGCCAGTCTGTGTTTGACCATGGCCTAAAGAGCAGTGTATGCCTCTGCTGCAGTGAGTAGATTGGTTTTCTGTTGAATGTTCAAGGATAAATCTATTGTTTGTCATACAGATACATTCAGGTTCTCCTTGGTGGTTGGATGTCATCCAGACAGCAATACAGTATGCCATCGATGAGGAGCTTGTTCAGCGTGTGCAAAACGAAATAACCTGCAACTACAAACAGCAGACCAGTAAACTCTCCATGGCAGAGAAGTAAGAGAGTAACTGAAGTAACTTGTACACACCTATTCATTAAACCTATTCAGGTCTTCTTCCTAGTTTGTGCTAGCAGTTGCAATTAGATAGCAGATGTTTTTGCTTCAGAGTATCTGGACTGCAATTATGTTTCAAAACCAGCCTCTGAAAAAGTGCAACTAGATAGAAGACTTGGAAAGAAAAGCAGGAAAATTAGTGTTTTCTCTTAGATAAGCATTCTTTGAAATGTTTTTCTGTATTATCTACTGTGGTTTTACAGTCCTCTATACTCATGAAGCTGCTGAGTAAAAAAAATTCAAAGTTTAGTTCATTAAAATTGAATTACCTATAAAATAAATGGGCTTACTTAAATGGAAAGTATACGATAAAGAAGTATCACTGTTTTTCTGAGCAAAGAATTTGAGGTTGGTTTCATGTTCAAGACAGCAGTACCACTGTTCTTGGGTTCAATTACACAGTAATGAATTCAGAAGGAACGTTCAGAGATCACTTAAATCAACCCCGATCTTAAGATCCAGACCCACGCTTGTTCAATCCAGTGAAGTTGCACAGGGATTTGACCTGTTAAGGATCTCTAAGGAGGGAGATTCAGTAATCTATATGTGAAGCCTGTTCCAGTATTTGGCCCACTTGGTGGAAAAAAATAAAATTCTTTTACTTAGTTAATATTTCCTGTATTTCATCTTGTGTACATTGTCTCTTGTTCCTTTGTCCAGTGCCTTTGACAAAAGTTAGACTTGGTCTTCTCTGTACCTTCCAGTTATATAAATACAGAAAGCAATAAGGTCTCCCCTAAATTTCGGGATTGAATAGACCCTTTTCTCCTGACCTTCTCTTGTACATTCTGGATGAAGGTCTGTAAGTTCATCACAGAAAAGGGAGACATAGGAAGGACAGTGCTTTGACAGTTTAACTTCTGGCCATTTTCTCAGACACATGAATTTATTCTCTTAAAGACAGACTTTCTGAATCATGTTTTAGTCAAATAATTTTTTATTATATTTATGGTATATGTAAATATATGTACATAAATGTATATACATCTGTGTACAAGTTTATAAAACATGTATCTATAAATTTAAGTCCTTAATATACACACATAATTTAATTCCATATGTAAAGATGTATCCTCCACTCTGACTGCCCTGCCATCGTGATTCAAAAAGGTTGAAATTTCTTCTTAATAGAAGTAAATGTATGTTTTATTTTCAGTACTTAACCTAATTCTATTGAATAATCTAAATAAAGATACAAAAACTTAACCTTTTTTTTTTCTTCAGCACAAGAGGCAATGGGCACAAAGTGAAACACAAGATGTTCCTTCTGAACATCAAGGAACACTTTTTTACTGTGAGGGTGACTGAGCACTGGAACAAGTAGCCCAGAAAGGTTGTGGGGTCTCCATCCTTGAGATACTCAGAAGTTGTCTAGGCATGGTCCTGGGCAACCAGCTCTAGGTGACCCTGCCTGAGGAGAGCATTTGAGCAAGACAGCACCCCATGTCCCCTTTTAACCTCAACCAGTCTGTGAGTCTGGATATAAATGTTTCATGGCTATTTGAGAATTATAGCATCACATTCTGGTCAAAATAAATATGAGTAAAGGACTGTTGTCATGTTCATGCAAAACTTTTATGCCTATGCATCCATCTGTATTTGTTTGTGTCAAACTGTTTTGGTTTTTTTTCCTCAATTGAAATTAGGTATTTAGAAAATATCATCTTAAATTGCTGCTTATAGATTGTATAGATTCAGAAAAACTATCTGTGACTAAACTTTCTTTTATAACATATGGATAAAACTTACTTCCTTTTTAATTCATTTTAGCATATGAGATAAAACTTAGAAAACAGTGTCTTATCAAGTGTTACTGGTCAGTGGTGGAAGCAACAAGTACTCTTAGTTGAGTACTGGATATGATTAATCCATAGTATAGTGAGGGAGATTTTTATAAAGGTGGTGTTACTTGGCAGCAGGTGATATTAACACCAGACTTGTGGTTGCAATTTACATTTATTTTCAGACTACCTGGTCAGGCAAACTTTGTGTACATTATTTTAAAATGCACGTTACTGAAGTAGGTCATATTGAATGCCAAGCTTTAATAGTGTTAAACCTGTATTTTGCTTTCTGCACTGTCCAAAATGGTTGTTTTGGATCAAACTTTTCATAGGGTGTGGAACCACAGTCTTGTACATCAATGTCAGACCTTGTAGGAATGATGCGCTTTCTTTCAGCGAGACTTCTGCTCTCAGGAATAACACAATGTGGGAAGTGCTTAACTTCTGTTCATGTTTGTGTTTGTTACCTCAACACTCCTCCTATCACAAGAGACACCTAGGTTTTAGGAAACTAGTTTAATGTTATGTCCATTTAATTAATTTAACTTTGAAACCTGACTTCCTGAATGAAGTGTATTTTTGTGATGGGTGCATATGTCTGCTGTGAATTGCACAGGTTCCTTGAAAATCATTTTCTTGGCCAGCAGACACAAGAAAGACTTTAAGTATGTGCAGTGGGTTACCTTTAGTAGATCTGCATTGTGGACCAGAATATTGCAGGTTGGTGTTCACTACTAGTATTTGGCCACACTCTCATGTCTTGAAAATAGTCTTTCTGTTTTAAAAATACCAGGCATCAGCCCCTGGGATACACTGGAGTGATTTCTGACAGCTCTGCACGTAGCAGGAATAAGCACTTCCTTGTGATACTAACTTTGTACGTTATCCTACATTAGCTACTGTCGTTCTAATTGGGAACGGCGGAAAGAACGACACGGACTCTCAAGGGAGTCAGAACAGGAGAATCTTCTAGTTTATTGCTCCAGGCCTGTCTTATAGACAGATACGTGGAAAGTACAGAAAGGAAACTCTTATTGGTTAGCAAAGTGCTACATCACCATCATTGGTCAGTGGGGCTCACCACCCCCCTGACTTTCTCCTGCAAGGAAAACAAGAGGACAGACAAACAGCACCTGGCAGTTGTTTTCTGTCTCTGAGGATTGTTTTGAAATCCTCCTATGAATTTCTCAGGCTAGCTCTCAGGCAGGACTGAGAGGCCATGGGGCCTGCAGCCTGCTCCAAAGCTAGCATCCACAAGCTACTTCTCTTCTACTTTAAAATACTGAATCAAGTTTGGATTTGATGTCTTGGTGCACAGTAATTTCCCTTTTTCTTTAAATCAGATTCCGTGACTGCAGAGGCCTTCAATACCTACTCACAACCCAGCTGGATGAAGTGAAGAAGTTCCAGAAGATTGTAAGAGAAGCAGTGAAAAACTTAGAAGGGCCTCCTTCTAAGCAGGTTATAGAGGCTGCCACTATCTGCCATTTGCGACCTGTTAGACTGCCACTTAACAAGTAGGTGTTGAAAGCAGAAAATAAACCTTAGATGTGTGAAACCAAATTTTCCTTTATTTGAAATAACATACTAAAGTCTTTATTATATACTCAGGAGTTATATGCACACAGATATCACAGATCCATTTGTTAGAATCATGCTCTTGGTTTTATTTTTATAAAATCTTCTAGTGTCAGCTATATTAATGTACATATGGCTGTTACTTTGTTCTTTTTTAAGAGTTTTGTGTTGTTTCATATGCTGGAATAAGGTCTTATGATAATTTGGTTTCTGATTAAATTCTGAGTGCATCTATTTCCAATTTTCTGTATTGCAGCTGTGTCTTTTGTAAGGCTGACGAATTATTCACAGAATATGAGTCAAAGCTCTTTATGCATAGGTAAGTTCATAGCTTTATGAATTTCTCACTGTTAGAAAAAGTGAAAGTTGGATTGGTTTATGTTTTCTGAAACAAGTTTATGATGAAATGATAGTGACTTCTTGCTAATGGCTTTGATAGCAGTTATATTTGGTTTAATTTTCTATGTATTTTTCATCTGAAGAAATGGTGTCCAAGGAATAAATACATGGCCACTTTCTCTCAAGCCACTATGATATGACCATGCATTTGAAATGAAGTGGTGGCATGTTCAGAAAGCATGTGTATAACTAGAAGGATGCTAATTTAACACATACTCCTATTTGTGCCAATATTTATTTGCAGTCCAGCTGCAAGTGGTATAATACCACCCTCATTCAATGTGATGAAAAGAGAAGACATCTCACACATGATGAAGCTGATAGAAGGGTGACACCAGCACGGGGTGTCAGAGAAGAATGACTAGCAGGCAGTACTGAGAGACATAGATTACAGCTCTCTGCATGCTTTCTCTTGGACTTCTCTCATATCCCTCACAGTGTCAACATTGGATTGAAAAGTCTTGAGGTTACTGAGAAAACATTTTGAGAAGTCTTTACCAGTGGGAGTTCTGTTGCTTCATGACTGCTTGAATCAGAAAGAATTGATGTATTTCTAAATTAGCATTATTTGTCAAGGAGAGAAATGGGAAGCTGTGCTGTTCTTTCACAGTGCAATACACAGCAAATTTTGCATCAGAGTTTAACTGTAATTCTTGCTTATATAAAAATTCTGAATTTAATTTTTTTTAATGAACGTGACATTAATAACAACTGAAAGATGATTTAGATGTGTAAGCCTTTACAAAAGCTATTGATGATTTTGAGCTGACAAAATGGCCTGAGGATTGGTACCAAGGTCACTGTGTTCAAAGCAAGCTTTTGATTAGGTAATAAAACAGCTTTTCATATTTGCTTGGTTTGCATTGTTCTTTGATCATATATAAGAAGGCTGAAATAGATGATGAGTAAGTACAGATGGATGTGGAAGTACAAAATCAGTGCTAAGTGCTGTGTTTGGTTTGTTTTGAAGTGTTAAAGGCCAAATGGCAATATTTGAGGAGATGATAGAAGACCAAGAAGGGCTTGTCGATGACCGCTTGCCCACCACAAGCAGAGGGCTCTGGGCAACCAGTGAAACTGAGCGTGCCTTGAAAGCTCTTCTCTCCTTTGCCAAAGCTCACCGAATGGATGCTAGGCTAACTGAAGAAGGGAGTGTATTCCTGGAACTCTTTGAAGCATGGAAAAAGGAATATAAGGTACAATAAACTACATGGTGATCAAACAGCTGTGTGCTCCATTTAATTTGTTATAAACAAATTGCAGCTGAATATTAGCACATCTAAGTCATATTCCTGAAATTAGGCTTTGCCTACACCAACCTTTTCCATAGTGCTTATTAAAGGATTTGATTTTAAATGATTTATATATGATTTAAGAGTTTCTAAAAGCCATACTGGCTACTAATCAAATTGCTAAGCAATGTAGCTGCATCTATTAAGGCAGTATGAAAATTTAATTGTGTTCATTTGTTTACTTAAATCAGAATGTAGCAAGACTCAGGAAATCCAACACTTGTCCATTCTGTAATTCAGTTTACCTTCAGTCTTGTGAAGAAGGAGCACAGTTTTTCCATGTGCCTTTTGGTTAGGAAGCTAAAGATGGGGCTAATATGCCAGTGAGAATGAAGACAGTGTTATGATTCTGTCTTGAAATATGATTTGGAAATACTGATTCAGTGGACTGTACTACTCTAATATACACTGAATTACGGAGATAATATCCTGTGAAATAACTCTTTTTGATTCAGCAGGGTTTTTTTTTTTTTCTTTGCAAGGCTTTTTGCTTCTGAATTTTTAGTTGCATTAATTACTGTAATACTAGTAGTTGTAGAAGAAATGAGAGACAGCTATTTATGGTTGCTTATACAGAGTCCAGAAAAGAGAGCTGGCAAAATTATGTCTATACTGCTTGTTTTCCTTTATAATTAGTTGTTGTTGTGACTGAATGCTGTAAAGAAATATTATCTCCTCCTCCAAAAAGATTCTCACAGTGTCATGTAAGTGTTAATTCAGTTCAGCTGTTCATGTGTGTGGGGTTTTCTTACAGTTACTTCATGAGTATTGGATGGTCCTTAGGGATCACGTGTCTGCTATTGATGAGCTGGCAATGGCGACAGAACGACTGCGAGTGCGTCACCCTGATGAGCCAAAACCAAATCCACCAGTGCTCCACATTATAGAACCACATGAGGTAGAGTACTGGGCAGGAAAGAATGGTTTCTTTTTGAAGGAACCCACCTCCTGCAAAGATAAAATCTGGATCTGTGTATAATGTCTGTAGTGTGACTCTGTTTTCATTTCAGACAGGCTTGGTGGAGTATAGGATTCTTACCTATTTCTACATTAAGTACATGGACCATTTTGAGCTTGTAATTGTTATTTTGTTATATTTTTGTTAGCCTTCTGACAGAGTGGCATGTTTCTAAAATACTGCTGTCCTTTCAGCAGCAGCAACTTTCCCTATGGTTGCCGTTTTCCAACCTGGTGGAAAATTAAGTTGACCTGATTCCTTATCCATATTGATACTTTCCACAAATACCTGTATAAAACAGAAGTGAGCACCTCAAAGACTGTATAAAACAGAAGTGAGCACCTCAAAGAAAAATATTTTTTTCAGTATTTTGAAATTTCTGAGCTACCCCTGACTCTGTTTATGATGACAGAGAAAATGCTGGGTTGATTTAACCCCTTCATTTTTTTTTGCACCAATAGAAGTATGTTTTTTATAGACACATTTTGTGCTTTTCTCTGTGAGATTGAGTAAAATAAAAGTGCTTCTTTCTATAAGGAAATAAATTTTGTTTCTGTATTAAAACAGTTTCTGTATTAAAACAGTTTTTAAAAAGGAGCACTTTGCTTAACAAATGCCTAATAAAGTTGTAAGATTGATGCATGTATATATATGCAGCCATAAAAGAAATGCCCATTACTTTGACCTTCATCCTTCAGGTGCCTCCCTCTTCTACAGTATCACCCTTCTCCACTATCAGCTGTAATTAATATAAAAAAAGTCAGCTTGATGTTTCTGTCTTTATATTGGTTAAATAAAAAGTGGAAATTTCTGAGAAATATAAAGAAAATAATTGTATCTTACACATTGTTTTTGGAACCAGCAGTTGGTTCTAGTATATATATACACAGTCGTAAGAAAATAGATAATAAATTGAATGATGCTTGGGGAGAACACATCTTAAATTTCCAGCATGAGCTGGTTTTCTGTCACCAGTAAATTACTCACCTGAATTTCACAAAAAAAAATCATTTAAGCGTTATTGTAAAACAAGTTTTTTTCTCCCTTTTCTAACACATATTTAATGTTGTTTTTGTAGGTAGAGCAAAACCGAGTGAAACTTCTGAATGACAAGGCAGTTGCCAAATCACAGCTTCAAAAGAAATTAGGACAACTTCTGTACCTCACTAATCTGGAGAAAGTAAGATTAATGATTCCTTGGTCTTTACCTAAGCAATGTACTCTGCTTGTGGAAGGGAAGAAATCTACCATTGCTTTTATTTAAAACTTCCATCTTAAAGAAATTGTATTTTCTGTGAAGATTCATTACATTTTGAAATTCGGTGTGCTGTTCTTTGTGTTACTGTGTGCTCATAAAATTATTTATTGCATTATATATTTTAGTTACTTGCTTAATTACATGCTTATTAAACTATGAACTGGTTTTAGATGCTGAAAGTTTTCATTAAAACTATCTGGGCCATGTTTAGTAGAAGCCTTATAAAATTATGTGTGTCTCTACATACCTCTGGTATTTTACAAAGAGCTTACATGAAACAAAAGGGTAATCACATCTGGAGTTTAAGTGTTAAAAAAAAACAAAAACAAAAACAAACTAAACCAGACAACCTTCATGTTATTTTGCATTTATAATTTGGTTTTTTACATTTTTACATTATATTTTATTTTACATTTATAATAACATTATATGTTATTTTAATCATAGCATTTGAGCAAGTGCATTTATGTTAAAGTAAGCATAGTTAAGCAAAATTTAAGTGGTTTTGCAACAATGTGAAGCTGATAGAAAATATGTGGAGTTTCTTGTTGAAGCTTGTATTTTACCAGGATTTTTCAGAGCTGTCATAGAGCTGCAGATGGCATCTGAGGGACTGCAGAATGAAAAGCATTCCTATTGCTTACCATAAGTTCCATATTTTTTAACTCCTCAAGATGGACTTGAGTACATTAATATGTTTTTAATTTTCTCACATACTGTTTTGGTTTGATTTGGTTTCTTTTAAGGGCTTCATTATTCATTTTTTTCTAGGAGCTTGTTTTAAATATAGAATAACAAAATACAAAGCTTATACTTTTTTTTTCTAATTTATATAGTCTCAGGATAAAACTACCGGAGGAGTTAACCCAGAACCGTGTCCAATCTGTGCACGTCAGCTGGGAAGACAGGTAAGATACTTATTCAGCAGGTTTTAGTTTTAGAGCATCTTTAGCTTGAACTGAGCCACTTGTGTGTCAAATTGTCAAGATCTATTTATAAATGAATGTTGTCATGAAACAGGGAAAACGAGCTGTTTTCTGTAATGTACCAACCAGCCTCTCCCCTGAAATAACATCTTTCTCAGATGCAAGCACCTCTACTTCTTTTACCTTTTGACATCGGTGCTTAAGTGTTCCAAAAATGTGTGTTCATGATTGTTTTATAACTCTGAAGCTATACTTTTGGCAGAAAGATTTATTTCCGATTTATAAGCAAACAGAAAGAATGTAAAGTTCTCTTGTATACTATTATATTTTACTGTAATTGTTCTTATTGATAGTATTTTTTTCTTCTAAAGAAAATGGTATTACTTTATATAATGGAAAGGATATAAGGATATTATGCAAACAGTAGCAAAATCCAGTAGAGTAAATTTTGGCAATGTAGATTTCTTTCCCCACCACTTTCTGGATGAACTGCAGGAGCTGAAATTCAAGTGAGACTCCATCTATATCATAGAGTACAAAGCCATAGTTTAAACTTGACTTACCATACTTTAGGAAAAACATGAAAGGACTCCTATATGGTCAAACTAAATTGTCTCTTTCTTTTAGAGTAGCTGTTTGAAGGAGGTTTGGCTTCTCTTTGCATTACAGACATGTAAGCATGAACTGCTCTCCTGCCATGTTTGCAAAATCCCCTCTGTGCTCTTCTTCCAAGGGTAATACAGGTTTTTACAGAGAACAGCTGTTAGTCCTGTTAACTGCCATTGTTCTTTATCTCAGAGCTGGAGGAGCTCACTGGAAAGGAAAATAATCTCTTAGCTTTCTTTATCTTTTCCTAACAGCAAGACTGCTGCTGCTTTAGGTGATAGCAACTTTCATATTGCAAAGAACTTTAAAATACTGTACATCCTGTTTCTGCACAATTGAGAAAGCCTTACACAGCCTAAAAGACCTTCTGCTTGATAATCAGTGGTTTAGTCGATTCCTTTGCTACTTGGTCCCATGAAAACTTCTAGATTTTCCTCGTGGAATGGCCTAAAGAACAGACTAGTACAGCGAAAGATATTATTTTGATTTTCAAAACTACTGGTCTACAAATTGCTTCTCTATTATGGAAGATTTTGGCTGACATGTAGATGCTCTAGGCTCACAAGGGCAGATCATCTGCTATGCAATCTTCTGTTTCATATACATTCTGTCAAAAAGAGATCAAGACACTTTGTACAAAATCTCTCTTCTTAAGTCCAAAGATACTGTCTAGGACTTACCAGTAGGGAAAAATTAAAGCATTTTTTCTATCACTTATTAGATAAGACCAACCTAGTATGAATGCACGGATAAAGAATTTTATAGAAGGCAAATAAGAACATTTTTTGTTTTGAAAAAATGATGTAAATGCTTAACCAATGTTTACATATAAGGCATTAAGAATCATCTTTCATAGAAATGAAAGATTGTAATGTCTTTCCTGAAGTTCAAAACCAAGACAATGTAAACAATGAACAGTAAATGCAGAGACTTCCTTTAAATCTTGAATGTCTCTGTGCTGGAAAACTTGGAAATTCAGGATTTTTAGCAGCTGGAGTGCAACAGTTGCAAAATTCTTCTTTAATTTGATGACTATCATGAAAAGAACATAATTTCTCTATGAAAATGTAATTTATCATAGATTAGTACACTGTTTTTCTTTTGCACTAGTCCAAAACTGAAACTGTGTTGTGTTTGGGTTTTTTTGTTTCCTGTCTAGTGGGCGGTGCTGACGTGTGGACACTGTTTTTGTAATGAGTGCATAGCAATCATCATCCAGCAGTACAGCGTTGGCACCCGCCGGAGCTCAATTAAATGTGCCATTTGCAGGCAGACAACATCTCATAAAGAAATATCTTATGTCTTCACTGCAGAAGCTGCAAATCAGGAGGATGATATTCCTGTGAAGGTGAGCTGTTTGCAGGAGCTCTGTGGCCCAGACTTTCAGTAGTGCATATTTGTTGTTTTGTAACATACTGCATTTAGGCAGACAAGTGTGCTATATAGTTTTATTAATAGTTTATCCTGATGACAAAACCTCTGGACACAAATGTGTAGGAATTCAGTCCTGATTGTTGTATCTGCTTTTTTCACTAATGGAGGGTTTTCAATGGGTTGAAGAAACAGCATCTCCATGAGTCTTTATACTCTGACATATATGTAATACTGACATATATGTAGTGCATAGGTACGTGTTTGCTCTGCATGAATGTCTCGTAGAACATTGTAGAAACAAAAACCTGTGTTTACTGCAGTTTTGGAAAAAGTAGAGGATTCTGGGCTAAAATGCAAAGGTAAAATACATTAATTGATAATACTTTGGTTTAGATGATACTGCTGTTTTTCATAATATAGCTGGACATACATTGTCAGAATTTTAATCTGATTAGTATAGTTAAAAATAATAACTAGTTGTGCTGACAGACTTACATGATACCTGTACAAGTCTCCTTGAGCCTTGCACAATTTCTAGGGTCGCTGCCCTGTATTGATGAAAATGCTGCCACACTCACACTAGTTACCTTAATCTCCCTGGACAAATAGAATTCCATTTAATGAATAGATGATTCCTAACTCGAATTATTAAAGTAGTTGACAGTATGTGGCACCAGGGGGAGTAAATAGGCTGTATTTTTCAAGTGCTACTTCTTAGAACATCACTTAATGCAGGGCTTTTTATATATTAATTCCATATACAGTTTAGAGATGTCACCCTGTTTCTAACAAAATTTCAAATGTTTCATTAATTACATTAAAAAATTACTAGAATAACCACATTTCATATATAAGACCATGAGAGAACATGTCATCTGCTTCCTATATAAAGAGTTGTAGTGTTTTCTTGAAGTATTTCTGCATCAAAAACTTTGAACAAAACAAAAATAAATCAAAAGTATGAATTCTGTGTGAATTTGCTTGAGCAAATCTCATTCTTTGTTCATGAAAAATTAAAAATTTACACTGTAACTTCACTGTATTTACTATCTAAACAACCAACACTGTTAAGAATAAAAACTTCTACCTCATATTCCTTTAAAGGACAGTTAACAAAGACTAACAAACTTACTATGGTTTCTGTAGAATACTGAGGTTATCATCAGTATTTTTCAGGATAGGTATGAATATTGTGTGATTTATTCAGTGTTTATATTTTAATCTGATCTTTCCCAATCCCTCCAGTCTCTAAAAGTATTCACTACCTCTCTTTCTATCTTACTCTTTATTGTACCAACACTAACCATCTTAAGGTATGCCTTAGATGCAAAAGGACTACTGTAAATGGAAGCATTTTATACTGAGAGAGACATTACTGGCATCCCTGCATGTTTTGGTTTTGTAAAAGCTTCCTGTGTCTGGTCAGTATTACAGTGGGTGTTGCCAGCCTGTCATCTGAGACAGAAATTGTTTGTTAGAGGATAGTTTTGTTTCTAATGTCAACTGTTCCATAATTCATTTGAACAAGCCAATTTCTTTATAAATAGTCATCTGAATTTTCAAAAAAATGATAGACTCACAGTGTAGGGGTAATGAGACAGACTGAAAAAAAAGGTTATTGTTAGTTTCATTTCTCCACAGAGAGCAAAATTGAAATATTTTTATGTGCTGTGGGCCAAAAAGTTTTAGTCACTTGTGAATTCAATAAGTCTAATATAGTTCAACATGATGTAGACAAAGGGATTAAGAACTTCACACAGTTATCTTGTTTAAAAAATAGTGCAAAAAGACTGACCATTGAGAGCATTGTGCTGTTCTTTTCTGCACCATAGTTCCCCTTACTGATCTTGTATGAAATCACCTTTGTAACACCTGAGTCACAGGAACCTGAAGGGTGGAAGAATCAACAACAGTGGCTAAAGCTGCTATCTGTCATAGCCGGGAAAAATAAAACCTATGATAAGGTCTAAAAACAGTTTCTGAGGAAAAGACAATTAGAACAGATTATCCAGGATTGTCATCACTGAATCGGAGATTAAAGGTATTGGAAAAGCACATAAATGACCCTGGAATTATGTAGGATGTCCTAAAAAGCTAGTCTTGGATCTCCTAACTGTAGGTGCTTATGATTGGCAGGCAGCAGCCATAGGGCTGCAAATGTGTCATCCTTTCAGATCAAAACACCTGCCAACATAAGCATTTCTAATTGTCCATCTGACTTTGCAAACAGTCAGATGGGCAGTCGATGTCCAGGTGCAACAGAAATGACGTGGAAGAAAGCTGGTTGATTTCTGTCTGTGACATTGCAGAGTTGGAATCACTGCGGAGGACCGTGGGTAATAAAATGGCACTGCTTACTGCAGTCTGTGGTAAAACAGTCTGCACAAAGTCTTTTACATGTTAGCTGCCTAATTGTGAGTGGTCAAGCAGCCCAGCATTGTTTCCCAGATTGTGCTGAGACTGTTGACATCCTTCCCAGCCAATTCTGCAAGCAGCATGACTTCAGTAAATTTGATCTGTCATTGTAGTGAGCCAACATAGTTAATTCAATGTTCAAAAGACAGGTGCAGACAGAAATAAAATAGTATTTGTCCTGCTGAATCTAGCACAGCTTGAAATTACTATGTGTGTAGGAACTAGAAAGAAATAAAGGCTTCTTTAAAAAATACATTAGGTAAAATTGCTGTAATACAAAGTACATACTGAAGGAAATGGAAAAAGAATACCATCTCATTGTATCCTCTTGCTGACCAAGGGGAAAAGGAAAAGTACATAAATCAAAATGGACAAGAAGTAGAATAAAGTATTGGATTCATTAAGCACTGGAATACTTCTGAATGCAGAATAGAAAGAGGTTTTCATTCCAGCTCACCATCATTCAAAAATTAATTATATTTACAATTTTCTTACTGATTTAAATATAATTAACAAGCTTCATGGTACTGAATGTAAGTTTGATGTTGCCAGAAGGAGAAACAGAAGCAGCATAAATAACATTCAGGTAGGTTTTTTTTTTCTTGGTCCATTTTAAAGAGGCGTGAAGGTAGGGAAATATTAATGTGCATTCGAAAGGTTCTCTAAAGACTGTGCCACAAAGTTGAACTGCAGGAGGCCTGCTGGGCACGTTTGGTGCCACTGCACTGCTTGGGCTGTCTGCTTGGCCTCATGCAGAACTAGAGGGTGTGTCTGCATAGCCCTTCGTTCTTCCATGTGCTGCACATGCTGTTACACACTGCTGATCCTAATGCAGTGCATTATAAGGGAGAGGTAAAAGTAGTTCAGTGCTACTTAACCTCCCCTTCCTCAAGGCTGATCATTTTTAACTTCATGTAAGAGACCTAATATAGCATCATTTAATAGAGCAATGAATGTGGAAGGAGTTCTTTACTATCCTGCTCTACTAATGCGCTTCTTTGACTTTTCAAAGGGAAGTCACTCCACCAAAGTGGAAGCTGTGGTCCGAACACTGAAGAGAATTCAATTTAAAGATCCAGGGGCTAAGTCCTTAGTTTTCTCAACGGTATTAATCACCATTTTCTGTCTTGTCTTTGCATGTGTGTTTTGAGTTTAAAGCGTTCATAATATTTTCAGGAACTAGTTTAGCTACCAAAATGTTGAATCACTCTGTACAACAACTTGATTGTTTTGAGGATTTGTAGGGCAAGTCCTGTAACTGGAACAAGAATAATGATCATAGTCAGTAGATGTGAAAGCTTATTTCTTTAAAGGGCAAACACTTAGATTTGAATGGAAGCTGTAGAAATTCTAGATATTTTTAAGTGTGATGTCCAGGTGTTTTTAATACATTGTAAAATTGGTTTTGCAATGGCTACCAATTTCTTTTATTCAAGTTGATCTTTCTAATTATCTGTCTTAGTTTGATGAAAGATTTGGTTTCTAGCACACTTTTTTTAAAAAAAAAAATCAAATGATAGCATTTTGAAAAGCTTTTTAATCTACTCTTTGTTAGGGAAGTTAATTATTTTTTAGTTTTCATTGCTGTTTGTAATGTTGAGTTACTTTTATTGTGTTGTGTGGTTTTGTTTTGTTTTTTTACAGTGGCAAGATGTGTTGGATATAATTTCAAAAGCTTTGTATGACAACAACATGGTTTTTTCTCAGATCAATGGAATTAGTAAATTTCAGGTACATAAAGGATATTTTTCTTAAATTTTTTTCAGTGGGAAAATCATAGTTCATAGAAGTTAATCTGATCCTTTTTACTTCATTACTTCATAAAATGAAATGAAACGAAGAGCAGCAAATTTATATGGCAGAAACTTTCATCTCTAACTTATTCATTCTAAAAATTACAATCTCAAAAAGTCCTAGTTTAAAGCATTTGGGGATAAACAGGACATTCACTTTTGAGAAAGATACATTGGAATGGAAGTTGAGGATGAGACACACTGATCGGTGTTGCAAGAAGTTAATGCCTTCCTGAGGCTGTTATGTATCTGTTCTGGGATGACAGACCTGCAAAATTGTCACTCTGGAGCCTGTATTAGCTGCTATAATTTGCTGAAAAGATAGTCCTGTCCTTCATACTCTTCACTGAGGAACTTTTGTCACGCTGCTGTGATGCTTGCCTTTTAGGAAAACCTGTCTGCATTTAAATATGATCCCAATATCAATATTTTGCTGCTGCCTCTTCACACTGGTTCCAATGGATTGAACATCATCGAAGCAACTCACGTTCTGCTCGTGGAGCCCATTCTGAATCCAGCACATGAGCTACAGGCTATTGGCAGGGTGCATCGTATTGGCCAAACAAAGTAAGAGTTACAGTTGGGTTCAATGGTTTAGATATGGTCCAGAATATATCTGAAAAAACCTTGCCCTATTCTATGTATGCCATTGATGCCTTAGTTTTTAACTTTGGAGTTCTGCTTGCAAAAACGTCCAGGAGTGTCTTAGCTTTGGAGGTCTGAGCAACTCATTGTTTTTGTCATTTATGGCTAAATTCAGGCATGGCCTTTTTGAGTTTCCTTGAGAGGCTCTTTTTAACTGGTCATTCTCAGCTCCAGATTAGGAGCTGTGTAAATTGTTGGGTTTTTTTTTTTGTTTCCTCCTTCTGGGGCTTTTTTTGGTTGGGGTTTTTTTCCAAAAAGAAAGTTACAGTGCACTCTCAGTAAAACTTTTAAGTTTTTAAATCACAGTTCTGCTCTCACCTCGTCTTCTTAAAGACATATGAGTTTGCATGTCTCTTGTTTGTTTCAGTTTTGTTGCTCTGACATAGGTAGTGCTGAACACTTAAAAAAGGTTTTAGAAGGTTTGTCCTTAACATATGAGATGTACGTGTTTTTCCTAATGTCTTGTGGCTTTAAAAAAAAATACTAAAGCCATGTACATGAAGAAGAGAAATAGCTGCAGTCAATAAAAATACTGTAGAATAATAGTGGGTGTTGTGTTCTGGAAATGAAAGCAGAAAGGAGGACATGAAGGAGCATGTGTGTGAAAGAACATTTATGAACAGGTGGGTATTTGTGTGTGTTGGTAAAGATTTTGAATTAACTGTGAGGGCATAGGAAAGATCGCTTGGAACAGCCCACACTGCAATTCTACATGATGCTGGCACAAAAGGTGTGGCAAAAACCTTGCAATAAAACCACCAAGAATACATTGTACTTTTTAAGAATTAAGACTTCAGCAAGGCTAATTTTTAAAGAGAGCTGTGTTCCAAGTACACTGAGCATTAGGGAATACTCTGTTTAGTGCCACTGGTACAACTATTACCATTTCAGTTACTTCATTTCTGGGGGTAGACCTTTGCCTGTGAATCCAAAAGTATTCCCCCTGCATTCTTCTGTGAAATGTTAAAAGTTTCAGCCTAAGATCTGAAAACCATCTAAGCATTTTCAAGGGTTCTTACCTTGAAAAATGTTTATACTGGGGAGCATGGGGTGATTTTTCATTTTTATCTTGGAATCTGACTTCCTTCCATTTCACTTTCTGGTGCCTGGCACTTTTCTAAATTACTGCTTTCTTTTTTGAAATTTTATTTCATAAATGGAATTTTCACTTTGTGTTATGTTTATTGACATTTTGCATTTTCTATTTTACCAGGGTTTACTGACTACAGTTACTGACTTCATTTAAAAAAAAAAAATCTAATACTTTGCTGTCATCAAAAATAATGTTATTAAAACTCTGGGTATTAGGTTTAATTACCCATCATATTGAACTCTTGTCTCTTGGATAATTTGTGACAATGAAATATGAACATTGTCTATAACCAGTGGGCAAAACTTTTTCTTCTTTAGGCTCTGGAGGAATGTTTCTAGTAAGGACACAGAAAGCAGGACTTTGTCCAGTACCTGCATTAGGATTGTAGCTAATACAGCTTACATTCATTTAGTGTGTGATCAGTGCAGTGAAAGTGTGTTTACAGGGAAGCACTAAGCACTCTGAAATGTCAATGGAAGTTGCTAATCACTTGTAACATTTATTTTTTAAAACCCAGAGGCATATTTTCAACACCTTTAATAGAATTAGTATGAGATAGAAATATGGTTATAAACTTTGGCAGTAACAGTACAAATTCTGCTCATTTATGGTGGCGTTTTCTTTTTTTTAAACACATTCAGATCTACGATTGTTCATAGGTTCCTGATAAAAGCAACAATAGAAGAGAGAATGCAGACTATGCTGAAAACTGTAGATAGAAGGTATGTGTTGAATTTTTCTAAATGTCATTACTGCACTGAAAATGGAAAGGTGGTTCTCCACCACACTTCTATTATGGTTAGGAATATATATCTTATATATAAACTTCAACTGTTCTTCAAACTGTGTTGACTGGAAAAACAGTTTTAAGACTTCTGAAGTTTTGACCTGGTTCCAGTAACTTGCAGCTTAAGGTATTTTAGTTCTCTGGAAAATATTTTGGTTATGTTTTGTGTATTTTATTTCATAAAAGCCTAAGTAAATTATTTATTATGATGTATATTTTCAGTTTCCCTCTTTCCATTGGTATAATAACATTGCAGTTAATGGAATAGTACTAAGCCTGCCACTAGAGCAACAGCATCTGTTAAAAACTCTAACACAGGACATGGATTTTTTCTTTTGTTATTTTTTAATCCTGCAAACCTCGTCCGATGGTGCTGTGTCACACTCCTTGGTTTCACAGTGTATGCAAGCATTGCCCAGATGCTAAGTGATACATCAGGCTGGTGTGCAGACGCAGAAAGCAGTTCTCACTGTGGTTTATCCTTCCAAAATCTATAAGCAGTGATGAATTGGAGCGGGACCAAAAATGCATTTACATTCCTTATGCAGACAGTGTAAGAAGTTTGTACCTTTTAACTAGATGGTATTACACATGACAAATCTAGGAGGAGGCCCTAGTTTAAGGAAATTTTGCCTGTTACAGAATATGAAACTAAAAATTACATGTACATCTTTGGCTGTAGTTATGAAAGATTTCAGTTTTAGCTCTTGAAGAGTGATTTACTCTCCTTCTCTGTGAAGTAGCTCTACTTTTGCACGTAAAATTTGGATAAATGTACAGTGGTAAAATGATCCCATGAGGGTTAATGTTTTGAAAGTAATATTAAACCTCATGCTTGGAAGCTGAAGCAGATCCCTTAAATGTTAGGAGGTCACAGCAGATTATCCCATGTTCTGCTGCCTTTGTGGTGTTAGGTGTTGACCACAGCTGGGGACAGTAGTGGGGGCTTTTTATCTTACTCAGAATGTGCAGGAGCAGTAGCTGATGAGTGTATGTGTTTTCCCAGACAGAAGTGTTTTCCTGCTGAGCTTCAAAGCTGAGTAGGTATTGCCTCTGAACTCTGTGCTCTGTCTTCAGTGCACACAGCTCATTACTTACACTGATTCTTTCTCTGATACCCGCATGCAATTTTTTCCCACAGCCACACGAGCTCTTCCATGAAACAGTCAGAAGCCTCAGTGTTGACAGTGGCAGATTTGGCTGACCTTTTTACAGAGGAAACTGAAGAACTTGAGTAAAAACATTGGTTTGACCTAATGAAATTGGAACATACCTGACCCAGTAAGCACCAGGATAAAATCCGCTTGATCTGTCGTTCCTGTAGACATCATCTAACATTTGTCCGTAAGAGAGGAATCGGAAATTGAGAAGTCTCAATTTTTACTGATTTATTCTTTGGTGACGTTCATAGCAGCACACACTTCTAATGGCACTGGATAAAAGTTGCACTTTGCACATTGTACAAAAACATGGATTTTTTTTTTTCCCAAAGAGCATTTGAGCTGGATGCTAAAACTGAGATCTTGGACCCTTGGTTGAGAGGATTTTTACCATCAGGCTTGATCGGCCAGTAGCTCAGTCTGAGAGCAAAACTATGTGGGTGGTTGGGTGGGAAAGGGAAGCAGAAAAATACAAATCTAATTTTTTTTATTGTACAAAGAGTTGTTAGAAAGAATGACTGTAAATTAATATTCTTCTAGAAAGGGCTTGTTAGATTTAATGCAGAGTTATTAAATGTCTTATTGTTAACACTTCAAATTACAAATGTTTACTAATAGTTTGGATATTTGTATTAGGCTTTTAGATATTCATTAAGACTTTTGACAGTTAAATATTTCATTGTTAATGCTTACTCACGGCAAAAAGATGATAATTAAATTATGCTTTTTGTATGTGTGTTGGTCTGGTGATCAGTTAAAGACTTAACTTGCTGTACATGTTTTCACTTGAAGCTGTGACTAAGTTAGTGCTCTGTTTGAAAAAACAAGAAAAGCATTTGCTACAGAGTTTTCAAAAATTAATTTGTTACACTGCTGATCACTTCATAATTATTTGGTGTTTCTGTGCATTGTCTCACCCTGATCTTTTTGTCTAGTTCTTCCCCTTAAAGATGCAGCAATCTAAATATACAAAAATGCATGAAATTATGGTAGGCAGTCTAGTTACTAAGTGCCTGATCTAAGATAGAGAAAGTGTGGAGAGAAATGGAACTTTTGTGAAGCTTCATCTTTAGATATGCAAGAACACTCTACCCCATCTTTGTTGACAGTAGTTTGCAAAAGAAATCTAGGCTAACTTTCAGACTTCTGAAGGTAAGCACGATAAATTTTAAGCCTTTTGGCATTGGGTATGGGTGTGCATTTATATAACGTTAATTTCCAAAGGTATTACAGAAGCAAGCTCAGGTGTGCAATTGGTGTTAAACACAATTTTGTGTTTAGCAGGTGGGAAAATGTGTGTGCATAAGCAACAGGCTACTTCCCTCAGTTTGCAGCAAGAGAGATGGAATAGATGATAGACTCTTCTTTAGATTAGGTTGATCAAGCAGTTTACACAGGAGCTGTGACATCTCCATCCTGGAACATACTGGGAACTCAAATAACCCTAAGCAACCTGATCCACCTTCGAAGTTGGTCCTGCTGTGTGTGGTGTTTTGGACCAGATGACCTCCATGGATCCCTTCCAGCCGAAATTATTTTACAGTGTACTGGAGATCATGCTGTACAGACACTCTAGGAACTCTGAGGGCAGCAACATTCCAATTTCCTCATCAGCTTCAGATAATTTTGATATTGTATGGCACAATGTGACTGCACAAGTGCTGCTATTCACTCTGAGAAATGATGTATCTGTGCTAAGAACTGTGGAAGCACATAGTGTTTACATTCATAGCTCCCATTTTAATTAGCTAGACGTGGGAAGAATAGTTGTCAATGAATGTGAAGACAGAAAGGCAAACTGAAAAATGTCAGCTATGAGAGATTTCCCAACCTCTTCATGTTTTTGGCTTGATGCCTTTTTCGGGCTTGCCTAGAAACAGAGGCCAGACAAAGTTAAAAGGATAAAAGCAGATATATTTAATGAAGGGGCGTCAGGTACATTAAGGGCAGATAAAGCCTCCCCAAGGGGCTACAACCAAAATGGATGATGGTCACAAGTTTTCCAGACAGATACAAGTTTGGTCTATTTCCAACTCAGGGATTAATCCTCCAATTACAGCTTCAGGTAATGAAGTCATATTCCCCCAGTTCATTCCCCACCAGTTCACTTTTCTTTATACTTTTCAGGGTCTGAGGCTGTAGAGTGTCCTTGAGTTTTAGGACTAGCGGAATTGTTTTGTCTGACCAAAATGTGAAGACAGTAATTAACACTTTATGTGGAGTTTAGAGTTATGCACTAATGCACTACAGGATTTGAAAAATACAAAGCCTAAAATCTTAAGGCATCAGGCTTATTTATATAAACATGATGGTTTCATTGTTTATTTATAAATATGTGGCTTTTGGATTCCTAACCAAAAGCATAACTTCTTTCCAAGCACTGCATGAGTCTTTAGTCCTAGCTTACCTTGTTTTATACTCATATAACAGCATGGAGTGCCAGAAAATCTGTTTCTAGCTGCTCTCCTGCCTGCCCTGGAGCATCAGCACTTAGAGCATGAGCACTTAGTGCACATGAGTTGTATTAAAGCACCTCTTGAAATTGGAGCGTTGAACCACTGGAGTATATAGCCAATGTCAGTAGTAAAATGAATTCTTCAAGTTTTACATAATACCAAATACAGAGACCAAATTTAATGCTTTTTTCCATTCTTTGCAATATTTAGTATCTTTGATAAAGGTTTTTTCTTTCAGACATCTTAAGACACTTCTCATAAAATTAATTTTTTTCTTTTTTTTCCTGCTAAGGGTGTAGCTTATACATCTGCAGTGCTTTTCTTTTATCAAAGCACAATAAGCTTGTTTTCATGGTGCTGTCATGGTTTTACTCTCTATGAAAACACTTTTGAAAGACAGTATCTTAGCTGAGAACAGAGTCTGCTGTATCCCGAGACTTGCAGTGTACTCATAGAAATGGGATTTTCCACAGAAGAAAGAAACCTATAAATACACACTGCCGTGTTTGCATAACATTTGTGTGAACATACCAGAGTCATGTACCAAATTCTTGTGTGTTCTGCTAAAACATGTAAATGTGATCCAAGTTAACAGTATTACTTATCCAGTGAAGTCAGTCTCTTGAAAAATGAGGCTTCAGCTGTTTCCAAAGACCTCAGTGCTTACTTTTAATCTTTCATTTCCATGACAAATAATTTAAAGAGTTTTGTCTTTTTTTATTGTAGTTGGTGAGGATTTTTGGATAGGTTTTCTCACTATATAAAGTTTAGTGCCTTGTAGAGCAGAGCTGTCATTTTGGTGTCTGTAAAAGCTTGATGTAAATAGTGAACTTCCTTGAACCACACAATATGATCATCTTGGAAACTGAGGTGTTAAACTTCGGGTGTTAAATTGAGCTCTGTGAATGTCACTATGGACGTTTAAGAGAATTTGTAACTTCAGATTCCCCCTTGCTATCTAAATCATCTACATCTAAACCTGTTAAGTTATTTTTTAACATACTAATGAAATTCCAGGATATACTACAGTTTTCATGCAGGTCAGGTATGACAGGAGAATATTCACCTCAGTCCTCTCTTGCATATTCAGATTTTATATTAAGGACTGGACAGAGTTGATGATGCTTTTTGTGAGATAGGCCTTCCAAACCACACGTCTCCAATGTGTGCAGATGTATTAGAGTTATCTGTGAGAAGGATCCTACAGAGATAAAAATATTTTTGTCTGGTTAAACCCATAATTAGACATAAATCCTCCTGTAAAATTCTGTCTGGACTAGTAGGTGGGGACCAGCAAACAGCTCTCTCCAACTTTCTCTTCTGACACAAACAGTGCTGTCCTCTTTCCATCCATTTTTGCATCCATTTTTGTGACTACATTACCTCTTTCAGGTGTCACAGAATTATCTGTTCAGTTTAAACTGTGCTTCAGTTAATTTGGAGGGGAAAGGGTCTGCATTGGTCAATCTTGCATTGACCAGTGTAAGAAGAAATTAACCTTGACATTTATTGCTCTCCCAAGGTAAGCAATAAGATGAGTTTCTAAGGAAAACCTAGAAATCTAGGGGTTTGTCTAGCTGTAAATAAAGCCTCTTTCTGAAGCTTAATCTAAAGACTTACTGCTTAAAATCTGTATGGTATGCTATTCTCTAGACTGAAAAGCGAGTTAAAAGCTACTACGCTTGTGCTTTTTTTCTTCCTTTTTTCACTGCCTGAAACAAGTGAGATCCTTACAAGATTATAAGCTATAAATGTAGATTAAATGGATTTCATAATGGAGAAAAAAATAAGGTGCAAGACATCTATCTCTCTGCTTGTGTTTTTCTGTTTTTCTGTGTCGGTCATCTCATCCCACCCTCCACCCACCCCCAGCTTGCTCAGTTTGTTACAAAGAATGTTTGTGTTTAGTCAGTGGAAGTAGAGTAAAAGAGTTATAATCCATAAAATGGCTACAGTAAAACTACCTTACTGTATCACAGGGAAAGTATCTGAGATAAAGAGAATTTTAGCTATAAATTCTTTTTTGTACTGATAATGTTTTTGTTTACCACTGTAGAATCAGATACTGAATTTCAGTCTGTTAACTTTCATATATCTGTTTTTATATAGTACAGCTGACACAGGGAAAGGACCCCAGAAATCTACTTACAGAGTAAGCAGTGGGGCTTACAAGTTTTTGCTTGTCTATGGTTTTGGAATTCATAAAGTGCACCTGAACCACTGTCACAAATCACAGTGTACCCACTGACTTCTCTTCTTTAGAGAAGGAGGAAGGAATAGGTAACTACATGGTAGTACTGGATTCAAGTCCCAGGTAGGCCCCCTGTATTCTACAGTCATACACTGTGTAAAGAGGTACTTGAAAGTGTAGCTTTCAAATGTTGTTAAGGAATTAAGTCACCTTGCATAGATGACATAAGGTTTCTAAGTACTAGACTAAATCTCAGACAATTGGGATAGTGAGATACCTGTAAACCTCTGCTTTAGTTTTCTTCTATGTACAAGATATCAGCCTTCCCAGGCTAACTTCCAAGTTCCTTTGTTCTGTGTATTTATAGAGCTTACACAATCAAGTGCCCAGCCCCATTCATTGAACTGGACACAAACCAAATTTTAGCAGTTGAGGAACAGGTGTCATTGTTTCCATGATATAACATCTCTTGATTTGATAGCAACCTTCACATTGGGTAGAAACTACCTTTCCAAATTCTACCAAGTGTAAGGTTTAACTGCTTATAGGGTGTCTCAAAATGTAAATTGTTGGTGTGGGTTGGCTTAGGTAGTTGTGGGGAGTTCTGTGGTGCTTTTCCTTATGTCCTGTGGGAGCAAGTGAGCTAATGGGATTCATACTATGGTGGTATGAATTGTCACTTCTTTATGCTTAACAGATGATCTTCATTTATCAGACTTTCTCTTGAAAGAGATGTCATTTGTTTAAGAAGAAAATCTAGGCTGCCTTTCTTGTTACCTTGATGGAATTTTGCCTTGTCACTCCTGGAGTCTCCTGAGATGGAGGTTCACAAGTGTGAGAACAGTGACTTTCCATTTGTGAATGCTGAAATTGTAAGGGGCTAGCTGTACTGGCTGAATGCTCACAAGTCTGTGGGGTCTGATGGGATTCAGCCCAGCATTGTGAAGGACCTGGTGTATGGCATGGAAAACCCCTCTTGATCATCTACCAAAGGGCTGGGAAGGTCCCTGCTGATTATAAGCTATCTAATATTATTCCAGTTTACAAGAAGGACAAGAGGGAAGACTTCTAGTGTAACCTCAATTATATTTATTATATATAATATACCAAGTATTATTGAAATGCGTTGTTTCTCTTGTACAAAATCTTAATGCAGCAATGTAAGAGTTGTGGACATGATTATACCAGGGAACTGCTGCCCCCATTGTTAGATCTTGTAAGCAGATCTGGTTAAAAGACAGTCTATCCTACAATTCCTGTCACAGAGGTAGAAAGCCCAGAGCACTTCACCACCAGCCAGAAAAGAGATGGAGGGGATATCTCTGAGACGAGGTGATCCATTCATATATACTGCTGTTGTACATGCTGCAGGAGAGGTGGAATCTGTATTAGATGGAGTTAGAGGAGATGGGAGGAAGTTGAGGGGGAAAAATAAGGAATAGTTGTAAAATGTTCCTCTGAGTGCCCTTCTGCTGATTTTTCTGTGGGAGGAATGAGTCACTGATACAAGCAATGAATAAACAAAGGGTGAAAGATTGCAAGTATAGCCTATTCATTGGAGCTAAATGTTCATCTAAATGCACTGGCACATTTTTGTGTTCCAGATTTGAGATATTAGTCAATTTCTTACCGAAAGTTCTTGGGCTGTGAACACACATGGCTTTGCAGTGGTTGAACAAATGGGAATATTGAAAAGTTTTAGCCCCTGGGATCCTAAGCCATAGGATTCCCTAGTCAAAGGTGTGCTGTGGATTTGTGAAAGATAATAGTTCAAACTTGTAATACAGACTTTTATAGATCAACTTCCCTGAACCAAACAGGCAAGTTTTTCTTAGTAGAGGCAAGGTAATTAATCACTTCTGCTGTAAATTAACAAGCGTCTCTAAAGGGGCAAGACGGTGGACTTTGTAATTGTCACTTGGGAAATTCTGCACCTTGTGAACATCTGCAGTGGGGATGAAAGGCAGAGAGCCCAGCCCGGTCCTCTTGTGCAGGGAAACGAGTGCTGAGAATCTTGCCAAAGGTTTGAGCCAGTCATGTCATGTGATATGCCGTGGATATTTTGGGTGAATCCCTCTTTTTGTGTACTGCAATCTTCAGACATCTTGTATGCATAGATTTTCTGTAAAGCATCTACAATTCTTTACATATGTTTCCTTCATCAACAAGCTACCACTGTTCAGTAGGACTTTTCTTTTTTCTTTGTGGAGCATGTATTTATTTTCTGTGACTTGTTCTTAACAAAGGTGAGTGATCCTGAATCATTTACAGCTCTCATTAAAAGCCTCTGGAATAGAATTAGAGGACATGAAACACAAAAGGGGTAGAAAAAGTGAATGATGTGAGGGAGGTTTTACTTCTGCTTACTTACAGATGCTGCTGCTGTAACACAGGAGTCAAATGTGAGACTGGGGGAAGAGTAGAGAGGGGTGTCCAGCCCTGTCCTGAGGGATTTGATTCTAAAATAGAGAGGAAAGGTTTTATGAGCAGTGTTAAAAGTTTCCACTCACTCTGCACTTTAGGAATCCTATTTTTGGGCACAGGACACTGTTTTGCCATTTTTGGGGGCCCTTGAGTCTATGGAGAGGTTTTAAAGTCCAAAGCCACAACCCTGGACTTAAATCTGTAATTACACACATTTTGATAGAAAATGTTTTCTTTCATATGATTCATATTAACAGATACTTTGCCAGAAATTTGCAAGCTATTTCATATCCTGTAATTTAATTGTTCGAGTAACAGAACACTGAAACTAATCAGCTTTTGCAGCAGCAAGTTAGTGACTTGTAGAAACCAGCCCACAGGAGAGAAAAAGCAGTGTTCAATTATGTTCCAAAACTGAAATTTCTGGATAATAAGCCAAGAAAATAATATTTTGATTACCTCTGTATTTCCTTGCCTCATATAGCTATTGTAATTTCAATTAAATATTTTATTTAGAAAGTAGCAAAGCTAAATTTTTCTTTGAAGATTATCAGGTATGGATAAAT